CTCTCTCTCTCTCTCTCTCTCAAATAAATAAAAATAAAAAAAAAAGAAACATTAGAAACAATCTAAATATTCAGCCAGTTAAAAAGAGTAGAGTACGTATTACCAAGAGAATGTTCCCAGGGCTTTAAAATGGATTGAGCGTTCTTAGGCCTCACAGGTGCTGGTTGGCTGAGGGGTAAGAGCAGCCGAGAGAAGAACAGGCCTGGCCCACGTATGCTTGAGAGGAAACGTAAGGGTGATGAGACTCCAACAAGGCGGACGTCCTGTGCATGTTAAATCGAAGGAGAGACCTGCAGGAGGTCACACGAGGAAGGAGGTCAGGTCCCTGTGCAGCACAGGTGTCCGCAAGCTGGGTGCTGAGCGTGGGGAACACCTGGCAGTGTGGGCCAGCTCCCTGAGGGAGCAAGGCGACCGTTGTGTACTGCGCTGGACCTCAGCGTCCCAAGAACCCTGCGTTTGCAGCAGGACCAGCTGACAGAGTTGATTCGTCTTCCGCCAGCACAGAAACGTTAAGAACTGAGGATCTGTTAAGCCACCGAAGAAGCCGCTCTTCTGACTCATCCTCCAGCTCTTCTAATTAGAAGGACCTTTGTCTATAAGCGCTAAAATCCTTGGGCCAGGCTGGGGCTATAGTTCAGTGGCACAGGCGCCTGCCTGACAAGCACAGGGTCCTGAGTTTGATTCCTTGTACCAGAAAGAAAAAAAATAAAATCTTTGGGCCAGAGCCTTCATGTTCTGTGAAATCCCTGGCTAACTTAAATCCAGAGGCGACCAAAGGCACAGACATGAGTCTGGTTGAGCTACAACCTGCTGGCCATCTCCCTAGAAGGAAGGGATGTCCTAGTGTCCAGCCTGTGCTCAGAACACCAGCTCTTCTGTTTCCAGTGGCTTAGGTTTCAGGCTGACAGGTTTTCTCTAAGTTTGTGGCAGTCCTGTCAGGCTTTTTGCTTGCAAGTAACAAAAATGAGCTTCATTTAAGCAATAAAAGTGTCAGGATGTTAGGGAGGTCACAGAGTCCCCTGGAGGGTCAGACCCCAGCAGAGCAGCAGAAGAGGGTCCCAAGTCCTGCGGCGGGGCAGTCTAGGAGCACAAGCAGTGTGGCTGCGTGGATCGCAGGGCTGCTGCTGGCGCCTCTGACCGGCAAGCAGCGGTCGCTGGAAACTCCGGTGGAGACCTGCCTGCGCTGTCTTTGTGTTGTCTCTCTCCCATCCCAGCAAGCATTCTCCTTGGCTCTGCTTCTTGATGTTGCTGGCTTCTGATTCGGGTTGTGGAGGGGTGGAGTCATTGCCGGGTGTAGCTCATTCGCGGTTAGCTGAACCCCACCAGACACCAGCAAGAGGCGGTTTCACATGGGCTTTAGTGAAAGTTGAAATGGTGGCAGGCACAAGACATGTCCAGTATCTGTTACAGAGCCGTAAATCCCAGGGGGAGAAGCTTCAGCCTGGCACTGTTGGGAGGAAGAGGGCGAAAGGCAGTGGACAGCGAGTTTGTCACCGGTTCTTCCATAGCAGACGCTCTTAACCGTTTATGCTGGAGAGCAAAACTTTCTGAAGTCTTCCATGAAATCCATGTGTGTTCCCTAGAAGGATTCTAAGAGCAAGGATTTGAAGAGAACACATCTCGCGATGCTCTGTTGCTACAGGAGTTCCTCAAATAGACCCCTGGGCATTAAAGGCCTAAATTCTTCTTCGAGTCTTCAGTGCCTTACAGGTTGCCTGAAAAATAGTGAATCTTGGGAAAGATTTGTAGGACACATTAATAAATGCTTGTTGAATGGAGTAGTCCTGTCCTGCCCTGTGGCGCCCTTGCAGCTAGAGATGAGGTTGAACTGTGTGTGTACCACACACTCTTTTCCTGTACATACATACATACATATGTACATACATACTTCCCTTTCAACTAAGGGTCTCACACGCGATGGCCAAAACTTCGACAGTGTGAGGTATAACTGCAGAACGGGCATGAATGTCCTTTTCCTTCTGAGTTTCACAGATAGAAGATTAATTACACTAGACCTGAACAGCCTCAGTCTACCCTTTCTTTCTTCTTTCCTGCAGCTGAGAATCTTCAGTTTTTCACATAAAGCAGCAGCGCTTGGTGGTTTCTCTAACGTATCTGTGCAGCCAGCGTGACTGCTTGTACTTTGGGGCCTTTAGGTAGAGGAAGGGCTCTCAGCACACAGGTCCTGTGGCCCTGCTGTGACCCATCGTAGCCAAGGCGGCAACTGAGGGGGACGCCGGCGGCCGTGTGTACGGTGTAGAGTCGACTCCCGTCACGGGGTTCAGAGATTCCACTGCACTCTTCGGCCAGCGCACAGGACTTAAAACTCATCTTAAGTTTCTTTTTCTGACCTTTCTTTCCTGGACTTCAGGTGACCGCAGGACATTGAAACGGTGGCAGGGAAGCTGTAGGCAGGGGAGGCGGGCTGGGGACATTCCCTCAGCACACAGGCGCGGGCACGTACGTTCCGTCAGACGCCGTGTTGTGTGCTCCCTGCAGCACCAGATGCTTTGCCTTCATGGTAACGAAGTAGTGAGGAGCCAGGCTGGGCCGTCCAGTAAGAATCCAAATGGGAGAATCGGGGTCTAAAGTGGAGAAATGCTGCCTGGGCCAGAGGTAGGCCGGAGCTGAGTCAGCTGCCAAGTCTTGATTGGGGTCAGGCAGTCCAGGGGTGAAGAGGGCTGCATGACAGAGAGGGTGGCGGTGGGGAAGTCAGGGCGTGGCCCCACTGGGAGTAGAGTGGACAGTCTCCACCGCTGGCATTTCTGGCATTTCTCAGCCGGCTTGTGGGGAAGTTGCGCAGCCACTGGCTCTTCTCTAAAGTTACTGTAGTGCAGACAGTAGTGAGCCAGGCAGTGTCCTCCATTGGGACGTTTTGAGAACAGAACTTCCTGTTTGTGTCAAAGTGAGCCAAGTGCCAGGTGTATTCCTTTACCTTTTGAGCTCTGTCCTTTTGCAAGCGGTGTCACCTCCATCGCATTGGTAGGGTGTGGTTGCGTCCTTGGCCCTGTGCACAGCACAGCCTTGGGGCCACGCTGGCCCTGCACAGGGGTGCCTGGAGGTGGAGCTCTGCAGGGGTGGGCCAGCATCTGGGGGCCCAGGGTCAGCTGATCTTGATCCAGCAGTCCCTGTTTTGTGACAGCTGAAGTTACTTAAAAAAATACACACATAGACACACATGTGTTTTAGTTGTCTTCAGTGACCTGGATCACCCAGTCTATTTCTCCTGTTGTGATTAGAAGTGGAAATTCTAGTTTGTGGGCTGTGGGGGACCTGGCCAAGATCCCCAACAGCCTGGAAGAGGGGTGGGGTGAAGGATGAGGAACACAGAAATAGAATTAGTAATGCACAACGGGAATCTACACACGTTCAAGCCAGAGGCTTGGGATGGACAGAGACAGGCAGGCCACGTCCTGCCCTGTGAGCGCCACAGCCTCGCTGGTCATCGGGGCCTGGGAGGATGGCTGTGGGCCATCTCTCAACTGTATGACTTGTGGTCCCCAAAGGTGGGCTTTATGGACAGAGCCCTGTCTCCATGAGAAGCTACCAGGGAAGGTAGTAGGTCTCCTCTGTCAGCCTGTACGGAAAAGGGGCACAGGAGTTTAGTTGTTTGTATCTCGGCTCACAAAGCTCTTAAGCAACGGCACCAGGACTCCGACCCGAGTGGCTGACTGTCGGAGCGTGCGCTCCTGCTCCTCCTGCAGGAAGCTGCTCGCGGCGGCACGGGCTCTGGAAAGCCAGCGCATCTTCCTTCGCCTGCGTGCGCTGTCCTTCGTCTTCGCTGCCCGCTGCCTGGCCGAGCCCAGCCACACAATTTGGGTAGAGCACATCCCGCACCTTTTGAATTGGCTGAAAAACTCGGGCGGATTTGTTTTCAGTTCTGCCTTTATAGATTTGGGTGAGCATAACCTCATCAACTTTTCAGTTCAGTCAAACTCTTTATGTTTTGCCTGTATTTTCTGTGTTGTTTCATTTACTTAAGGTTTGCAGGGATGGAATATGTACATCTAGTAACTGTCTAATATCTAGTACAGAAATAAAAATTTTAAAATCTGGAATCTTTAACTCTGGAGAAGAACTTCAGTGATTGAGACTCAAAAATTTCCATTTCTAGTGCAGCCTGGTGACACATGCTTGTGATCCTGACACTCAGGAGGCTGAGGCAGGAGAATCTACACATGTTCAAGGCCAACCTGGACGGCTTACTGAGACCCTGTCAAAAAGAGTTTCTTGGAAATCTCCATTTGTGTACTCTTAGGCGTCAAAAGTGCTTTGAATTATGCCCCAGAGGAGAGACTTCTTATGTACCCTAAAGGCCCCAAATCCTATCAGGACAACCAAGGGCCCGCCAGGGGAGGTACCTGCCCCATCGCACCCCACCTAGCGTTGTGCCCGAGCCCAGCACCCACAGGTCCCCACCACAGAGAGGCGTGTCCCTGTTGCTCTCCATTTTAAGCAGATAGGTCTGTTCATCAGATTTAGGCCAGTTTGTGTTTGTGGTTCTTTTCCTTGAAAAAAAAAAAAAAGGAAAAGCTGTTTTCTTTGCCTTTGAGAATACTAAAGATCTAATATATATTCCACTTTCTTTTGACAGAAAAAAAGACAAGCCTATGAATCTAACCTCATCTGCAAAGGGCTGGAGCTGGAAGCAACACGTTCCGTGAGTTTAGTCCCTCACAGCCCTGGGCAGCTCCGGGTTTGTGGGCGGTATGGGGAATGTCGCCGGGCCGGCAGAGTCTCCAACTGGAGGCCGGGTCGCCCCAGATCTGCGTTCTGGAAACAGTGTCATTGTGTTTGGTTGTTTTCTTCTTTAAAAACCTTTTAAAAGTTTTCTTCACTTTGCAAATAGTATAAAATAATAAAAGCCAAAAAATGTTAAGGATAGAGAAAATAAAAACCATGTGAATCTTAACTATCCAGAAATTACCTTGTAGTCTTTATAAACTTTTCTTTCCTTAGGTACATGTATTTTTTACCTTTCAAAAAGGGAAATATTATTTCACAGTTTATAATTTGCTTTTTCATTTTAATATGTAGTAAATAAACACTGAGTAGGTCATTAACATTGTACGGGCGCATCACACGGTGAACACAGGGTAAGCAGACCATTTCTGGGTTTAGGAAACTGAAAATTTTTTCATCAGTGTAGCATTAAAATGAATGCTGTAGCTTTTTTATTTTACGTTACTAGTTTGGATGGCGTAGTACACATATTAACAAGTTTAGTTTGCTAATTTCAAATACTAGTTTTGTGTAAGAACTGTAATAACAATTTTAATTATTTTCTTGATAATTCCAATGAAGAAATTATCAGGTGATGATAACTGCAGGCCCGCTTGCTCAGAGCTGAGGGAGGACTCGGGCACTTGCGCCGCGCTGCCCGCCCCGCCGTTCTGCATGTCACCCGAGCGGGCGTGCGGAGCGTGCAGGCTGCAGCCCGCTTGCCCACGGCCCCAGCGTGCCTCTTAGCGTAGCTCTACCTTTTGGTGTTCGCTTTAAATGTGCATTTCTTTCGTTCCTTCTCTCTTTTCCTCATAAGAATCTGTTAGTCCCAAGACTGTGAAAATAGGGGACTTAGTTTTCCGATATGCGTGTTTCCTTCCGCGGCAGGTCTTGGACGACAAGCTGGTGTTCGTGAAGGTGCACGCGCCCTGGGAAGTGCTGTGCACGTACGCGGAGCTCATGCACATCAAGCTGCCGCTGAAGCCCAACGACCTGAAGACCCGCTTCTCGGCCTTCAGCCACCTCAACTGGTTCACGAAGGTCCTCAGTGTGGACGAAAATATCATCAAGCCAGAGCAAGAGTTCTTCACGGCCCCATTTGAAAAGAACCGGATGAATGATTTTTACATTGTTGATAGAGATACCTTCTTCAATCCAGCCACCAGAAGCCGCATTGTAAGTCTAAGCTTCTGTCTTCTAGTGATTTGGAACTTCTGTTGAATTATTTGTGGTTTGGTTTAGTTGGAGTGGTTTGGGTATGTCTGTCTGTCTTGTATTTATTGAGACAAGGTATTGCTATGCAGCCCAGGCAGGTCTTGAACTTGCTCTGTAGCCAAGGTTGACTTCAAACTCATGATGATCCTCCTGCCTCAGCCGCCCAAGTTACGAGATTATAAGCATGTACCACCCTACCCAGCCACTTGGTTTTAAAGACAGAAAAAAATGAAGAGTGCCTACAGATTCCTGTTCTAGTGTAAACAGTGGTTAGATCGGTTGGTCCTCTTATATAAACTGTGCACTTTACTTTGGAATCTCTCCAGGTTTACTTCATCCTCTCTCGGGTCAAGTATCAAGTGGTAAACAACGTGAGCAAGTTTGGGATTAACAGACTTGTAAGTTCTGGAATCTACAAGGCAGCCTTCCCTCTTCACGATGTAAGTAAATGGCAGAAAGGAATGCAGGGGCCCCACGGGTGTGGCGTGGACAGCAGGACAGGGCTGACCTTCCTGACCTTGTGCCTCTTGCTCAGTAAAATGAAGATGATGGCCCAAGGTCATGATCTCCTTAAGGGCAGAAGGGAACCTGACCACTTTTTTGGCAGAACAGGTCCTGCGACGAAAGCAGTGGATGGAGGAGCAAGCAGTCCGCCTCCTGCTAATGCCCATGGCAGTGCTGCCGTATGAGGATTTCTGGGGCAGAAGCTTCTGCTCTGCTGTTTCCTAGTTAGAGCACCTTGTGAAAGCCATGTACCTTTTCTGCATCTCGGCTTCCCTGACTGTGAGGTTGGGGAGGTGATAGTGCTTACCTCACAGAGTTGGCGTTAGGGTAGTCAGTGTCAGGTGCTAGTCCCTGCGGGTATTTCAGTGCCAGCTATTTTTGTAATTACCAGCAAATGGAGCCTACCCCGACTCCCTGATCGTGTGAATTCTTTGTAAGGAAAACACACGTAAGAAATTCTCATCTTTCATTTGACTGCACCATAGACTTTTTCTCCGCCCTGACGTACTCTTTGTGAACTTGCCCGGGACTGTGCTAGGGCTTATAAAAAGGCCTCTGTGGGGTTCTTGTCTGATGGCAAGCCTCAGACTGTTGCCATTTTTAAGGACTATTTGGAGACCGTCCTTCTGTAACCGATAGCATCGTGTGTATGGAAGCTGAGTTTTAAACTGTGACCACCCGGACTTGTGATTCCATAAATACAAGGGCATCGTATCTAATGCTGTTTACATTAAGTATTGCATTATGTGGCATTGTTACTTTGTCACATATATTACTGATTTCTCTGAATCTGTAAAGGCTGGAGGCTGAGCCCTCCCACTGTACACTTCATCCACCGGTTAGTGAAGGTAGCATTGAAATGTGCAGGAGGGAAGCTGTGGATCAGAGGAGGCGAGGGGAGGGCTGAGCCCCCCAGGGGTCCGTTCAGGCTGTGCAGCCCAGCAGCCCACCCCACCCCACAGTGAGCCCCTGTGGTATGACATAAACTTTAGGACAGCTGCACACGGTCGTCCGGAATACTAATCCGGGACGCCAGAGTTCCACAGTATTCGGTGGCATTTGCCCCCATCCAGTTCCTTTCCAAGGCTGTCTGTACACAGTGGCCCCATGGCCAGGCCAGGGGATGCGCCTGTATGGAATTTGGGAGGAGCTGGGCGTGGTGGTGCCCACCTATAATCCCCGCACTCAGGAGGCTGAGGCCAGCCTGGGCTGCAAAGTGAGCTCAAGGGCAGCCTGAGACCCTGATCTTCTAGTACGTGAAGGAGAATGAGTCAGACAGTTTACATTTCAGAAACAGCAGGAGATTCTCTTTGTTGAGTAAACTGAATGTGTAACATGATGTCAATTCTCTTTGTCGCTTAATTTCTACGTGTGGGCTCAGAAAATCCACTCAACTGGGCATAGCGTGGGTGTAGAGCTGTGCCACTGCAAACTGGCCACAGGCACTGACTGGCTGCACCGCTGTCCAGGGTGTTCTCTGGCGTAGCGATTTGGGTGCGTGGGTGGCCCAGTGTTCATAGTTCAGGCAGCCCCCCGTGGGGGACATTAAGTATTCCTGGGGCTCTCCCATCCCCCAGGATGGGAACGTCCCAGCATCCATGCCCACCCCCATTTGCAGATGGCCCTCGCCATCATGAGGCCCCGTTCCCATTGCTTCCAGCAAGGGAGGGCCCCCTTTGCGCAGTGTGACCCTGTAGCACCAGGGCCATGTGAAGCGAGTCAGTCCATGCAGACGCGATTCCCGGGCTCATTGTCCCCTCCGCTTCTCAGTGCAGGTTTGGCCAGCAGTCCGAGGACGCCAGCTGCCCCAGTGAGCGCTACCTTCTGTACCGGGAGTGGGCTCACCCGCGGAGCATCTACAAGAAGCAGCCCTTGGACCTCATCAGGTGAGGTGGCGGGCAGCGCCCTCTGACATCGGGGGACAGAACTCAGAAGAGCTCCGGGCTGGGCTGGGTTTGCGCTGAGCCCTGCCCTGCAGCTTCCTCATGTAGGCGAGGCTGACGGGCTCCTCACCCATGTGGCTCAGTCCCTCGCGGGGCCCTTCCCGTCCCTGTCCTGTGGCCTAACCCCGACTCCCTGATCATGTGATTGGTCTGCTATAGCTGGTCCCATCCTGAATCCTCTCAATAGCTAGAGTTCAGCCCACGAGACTCAAAGGCTCGTGGGTACAGACTGTCTTTCTAGCCATGCACCCACCACGAGTGAAGAGGTACCCCAGGGCTCAGCGCGTCCTAAGGACTCAGCGGGTCCCTGTAGCAATTGCGAACGCACACCTGCCACGTTCTTCATTATAAAGGAGTATTAGCTTCAGCTTATATTGTATGGAAAGACCTAGAAATTTTTTCACTCGTTTTCTGAATCTGCTATTAAAACTGTGTCGTTGAATCTCACAAGAAATAACGCATAGCTCAGGGCTTGTCTTCGCCGTGCACCAACGCTGGCTGCTGCCCAGAAGATTGTTGTCTGGCCGAGGCGGTGGACGCTTGCGTTGGAGAGAGGCGGGGAAGCAGATGGGCGGATAACAAATTAGTGAATAGGAAGCTCTTTAATTGGAATAAACAGAAGGGTGACAGGGGAGGGGGCTTCTTAACAATGATTGTCTTTGAGCAGTTGACCTTGGAGCTGAGGTCTGGGTAGTGGAAAGGACCTAGCACTGGAAGGATTTGGAAGGAGTCTTCCAGAAGTAGAGGCAGCCTCTCCAGCAGCTTCTCCAGTGTCGGTGAAACATAAATATGTCTGACAGGACCAAGGAGACGGGAGGACCAGTGCTGACGAGGAAGAAAATGGCGGGACACAAGCCAGAGAGACAGGGTCTCGCTGTGCAGCTCAGGCTGGCCTTTGTGGCTCACTTTATAGCCTAGGCTAGCCTCAGATTTGGGCAGTCCTCCCGCCTCAGCCTCCCTAGTGCTGGGATTATGGCATGCCCTGCCACACCACACTAAATATTTTAAACATAACTAGAATCCCCTTTAAAACAAAAGCAGCAACTCCCTAAATTCATCCAGTAATCAGTATCCGGATTTCCTTACTTGTCTCCAAAAATATTCATAGTTTCTTAGTTCAGATCAGGATCCAAATCCAAGTGGTGTATTTCAGATTTTCTGAAAGCTTTTGTTCTTCGTCTTTTGCTGCCCATTGGCCTCTGCTGTAGCTCCTTGCACCTGGCTTCGTTTGCTGCCTTCTTATCCGTCTTATCCGCTCTCCCACGGCATGGCTGGCCAATACTGCTGAGTGTGTTCCCCTACTCCGTGCATTTGCCTTAGTTGAGGGGTGTGATCCACATTGGAATGTTATCTACTTTGTGTAAAATATTTGATATGTGGAGTTAGGTGCTTTTATCAGAAGGATCATAATATCCCGTCTTCTCTCTTTTTTGGTGATGTTAGTAGCCCTTAATAATTCCTGCTTTATTATTTCATAATGCCACATCCAAAGGAAATGCTGTATAAATATTGATGACCCTGATATTTGGCTACTAGTGGCAAGAAAAAAAGAGATTGTGTTTCTCCCAGTATTTTCAGCCTGTAGTTGGTTCAGTCACGGACCGGGAACCCTTGCACGTGGAGGGCTGACTCCATTGAAGGTTCACATCAGCGTGAAGTTTTATTTTTTCAATCTCCCTTTGTACTAAATCTGTGTCATCCATTGGCAGGGTGGGAAGACTCATTCATTGGAAGAAAACTATTTACTACCATTTTAAGCACATTTTGCTAAGGAGAGCATGCATAACTGTCCTCTGTCGCTGGCCCTCGTGTTCTCCTCTCATTGTTTCCCTGGTAACCCCATGTGGATGGATGATGAGGTGGAAGTCACACGAGAGCTTAATCCTCAGCTTCCAGACGAGAAAGCCAGTGATGCCCACAGTAGTCAGTGAGGCTTCACGTTAGCAGACTGGAGGCAGCCTCAGAGGCAGCTCTGAGAGCTCAAGGTGGCCCTCGGGCAGCAGGAGACCAGGTGGTGGCTGAGGACGGCTCCTTGCAATAGTCAGCCTTCTAGACTTCCTCACGCTGAGCGTGTACCTGGGACTGATGAATCAAAGCTTGCCTCATAAGATTGATGGTCAGAGTTGGATGATTTTGGCAGAGGCAGTCGTTGGCACATTTCCCATTTGAAGCATCCTCATTATTATTGGCTTCTGAGAACTAGGACACAGGTTTCCATATAAGATTTGGAAACCATTGCAACGTAGCAGGAATGACTGGGGAAGTCATGACTTCTGTGTCAGCACAAATAGCTAGCTAGGGATCATGTGACCAGCCTGCTAAATAGAACAAGTTATTTTTACTACTGGGAGGTTGGACCACGCAACTTCTAAGATTCTTTCAAATTTTAAATATGATATGTCAGGATAGATGACTTAGAACTGTATTTGTCTGTTTATTCTACTATAATGAAATACTTGAAGCCAGGTATTGTATAAGGAAGAGAGGTTTATTTAGCTCACAGTTTTGGAAGCTGAAAATCCAAACAGCATAGAACCAGGCTGCATCTGTCATGGCCATTTGTGGAGGAGAGGGCCCGTTGCAGGCGGCCAGAGAGAGGAGACCTTGTCTTGCTCTTTCTGTAACAACTCTTATGAGAAGTCACGCATAAGTACTGCTTAGTGTACTCTGAGGACGAGGCCTTCTGTGACCTCCCACCGGGTTCCTAAAGGCCACAGAACCTCTTAAGACTTTCACACTGTTGACCACATTTCTAACACAGGCACCCTAAGGTGACACACTTAACCTGGTGTCTAAGTCATTGCAATACCTTGTCACAGAAAGTGTAGCAGAAACACATTGAGACCTCTCACACCCATGGCCAGGCTTCTGCTGGCCAGGCCTCGGGTTGTGCTCGGAGCTGAGTGCCCACTGGGTCATCCTCAGCCTTTGGCCCAGCCCTGTGTGGAGCCCAGAGCCTCACAGAGGCCTCCAAGCCAGGAAGCCCAAGGGCCTGCACACTAGGGCCGGCCTGCATCTGGCTGGAAAGCCCACAGTCGGAGACGTCACCGCCACAGCCACTTCTCGGCTTCTCCTCCCCCAGGCCTTTCCTTCTCTGATGTCTTCGCCTCCCCTTCAGGAACAGCTCTTTCACCTACTGAGCCTCTTCCATTTTGCCCAGAACACACTGAACCCATTTTTAATGCCTAGAAAAAACACAAAAGTGCTCACTAGTAGGGCACAGGTGGTGGTCCTGTCCATCCCCCTTTGTCCCATTTGCACATGAGTTTCATAGGATTTTGGCCAGAGAGACAACAAAATTTTGGCCAAAATTCATTCCACTGCAGTATAGGGCAGGGCCCTCCATACCCACTCTTCATTTTTGATGGTTTGTTACCTGCATTCCACAGAAGGAAGGGTGAGCTAGAGCCAGGAAGATGGCTCAGGGGAATAAGTGCTTCCCTGGCAAGCACAAGGGCCTGAGTTCAATCCCTGGTTCTGCCAAAAAAAAAAAAGAAGAAGAAGAAGAAGAAAGGCTGAACACGGTATGAGGTATTCCAAGAGAGACCGTGTTTGTGTAGCACTCACTGCTGCACAGCGCTGTTGTTGTGTCTTTCGCTGTCTCATTGTCCTACTTACAAGTCAGACTTGTCAAGGTGCAGCATATATAGGACTCAGGACTCTGGAGGTGTCAGGCCTCTCCTGGGGGGATCATAGAATGTGTCCCCCGGTGACGGGGAGCCTTCCCACTGCTTGAGGATCCTGCGTGTGGCAAGCCAGGTTACTGAGCAGATTGCCCATTGGTGTCACACATATTAAAAATCATCTTTTGGACAGAGTGTAAAACAGTGCCAGCATTAACAGAGAATGATGCTGCTGCAGTATTTGAGCATTTTTCCGAATTCAGCGTTTCTCCCCATCCTGAGCTCTTCTGCCTTTACTTTGCTTTAACTGGCAAATCCGTGATGGGGATCAGCCTTTTTGTGTCTTTGACTCCAGGGTGTGTCTTGAAAAGGCTATGTCTTACAGGTGCATGGAGTTACAAGTTTATGTGAAGCCTCCTTTACTGAAAATTTAAAAATTAATTTTAGGGTGAAGGTGCTGAGTGACTCTGTCTTCTAAAAATAATGTGTCTCTCTTCAGGAAGTACTATGGAGAGAAGATCGGAATCTACTTTGCCTGGCTGGGCTATTACACGAAGATGCTCCTGCTGGCCGCGGTGGTGGGGGTGGCCTGCTTTCTCTACGGATATCTCAGTCAGGATTACTGCACCTGGAGGTAACCTCAGTTCACTCTTTGTTACCACACTGAAAAGGCGGTTAGATGTAAAATTATTTTCAGGGGGTTAGAATGTTTTGGTTTAAAAAAAAAAAAGGACTCATTGTCTTGGGTGATCTGTCCTTTGTTCTGGGTATAATAACCAGGCAAAACAGATAAAATTCCTTCACAGATAATCCAGTCCGGCCTCTTACAGGCATACTACCGTGAGGAAACATGCCAATATTTTAAGACAGTACTTTGTTTGAAAGAGGAAGGAGGCCTGGCGGAGGATTGCCGTGAAGCTCTGGCCCCAGGGAGCGCTCGCTCAGCCCCGCAGGTGTGGACCGGAGAGTGGCCCAGATTTCCTTGGCGTTTTGAAGGGCAAACGGGTGAAGCTGGTGTTTTTCAGTTTTTAGCAAGAGCATCTCAATCTATATTAACAATTGCGTGCTTCACAGCGCAAATGACCGGTCGCTGCTCTGTGTTTAGCTTTTGCGTTAGTCCTTACAATGTCAGAGGAAAAATACGTGACAGGCATTTCGTCATGTCTGACACTGGAATTCAGGCACCAGCTACCCGCCTGGAGGAAAGCCCCTGCTTTCAGGGGGCTTCCCCTCCAGGGGGGCTGCAGTACCGGACCGACAGCCTTCTCTTGATCATCCGGTCTGTTTCCAGATGAGAAGTTCTTGGGCGCCAGTAGTGAGTCAGTGACCAAACTGCTGCAGCCCTGAGCATGTCCTCCCGGCACCTGAGGCAGAACCTCCGGCGGTAGCCTGCTGCGCAGGCATAATCCTCCTCCCAGCTAGCAGAAGATTCCGAACCTTTTGGGCCATTGCTTTTTGGTGAAAAGCTGCAGATGGCTTTTGAAGTACAAATCATTTCTTTGCAAAAGAGTCTGGAGCCAAGGGCTTGAGTTGATGCCCTTCCCTGAATTTCTCTGCAGCATCTGCATTGTTTTTCTGTATCATCCCACCTTCAAGAAACAACAAAGGTTTTTCAAAAATGCATTTTCAGAGTGGCAAATTTGCATTTTTATAAGGTTCTCACGTGGTGGTTCTTATTATAAGTAACTCATTTTAGGAAATCACCGCGATAGCACACGTAGTTCCTGCATTTCACACAGATTAATTTACAGCAAATGGAGGGAGGTGTTGGGGTGATGCTCCCTTTGGCTTAATTATTAAATATCTTTAAAGTGTTTGGAAGCTATCAATTTCAAATGTTTTTAGTTCTATTGTGTACTTAGTCGATTCACAAGAACAGAAAATGTTTTTTAAATGTAAGGAAAAAGGTTCTCTCACCCAATTTAGGAAAAAGAAGTCAGGTGTGGAGCACATGCTTATAAATCCAGCAATCCGGGAGGCTGAGACAGGAGAACTGCATGTTCAAGCTGTGGGCTCAGTCTCCAGTACGGAGAGACAGAGACAGAGAGAAAGAAAGGAGAGACAGAGAGAGAGAACATTATTGCTGCCTTTTGTTTTTGTTCAGTTTTATCCCTGCCCTTTCTACTTTAGAAAGAATTACTGAGCTGACTTTTGTATTTAAAGTTCCTTTGTATTTACGTTTAAAATAGATTAAATTTTGTGTGTCTCTAAAAACACGTGTGTCCACATATCAGCGGAGACTGCTACAGGTATTTCCTCCTAAAAAGTGCCTAAAGTTTATATCCTTTTTTGGAAAAGGCTTATTGAGATAATTCAGGTAGTGCTCAGGCGCCCGTCTAGGCTGGAGGTGAGTGCGCTTCACGGCTGCGCATCACTGCCTAATGACGTAGCCGTCCTCACCGGCTCGCTTCCTGACATTTCGTCCCCCCGTAAGGAGCCAGGGCCGCTGGGCAGCCATCCCCTAGGCGCCCTGCCCGCTGGCAGCCCCTGCTCTGCGCCGCGGCTCTGGCGTCGTCTCCTCCGATGTTTCCTAAAGGAGGACCGGCGCGTGCGTGTCTCTCGTGACTCCTGCCTCCCCGCCGTGCCCAGGGCTCCTCCATGTCCTAGCGTTGGTCATCACTTCATTCCCTGCACAGCCCGCTAGTACTCCACAACGTGTTTATCCATTCCTCACTCCACGGACGTCGGTTACTAAGATGCTGTGGCTCCTACGAATAACTCTCTTGTGGCTGTTCACGGAGAAGTTCTCACGGGGACATGTGGCCGCAGATCCCCTGAGGCTGTGACAAGAAATGGAGTGATAGTGCTATTTGACATTTTGAGCAACTACCCAAATATTTTCCAAAGAGGCCTCTCGGCTCGGCGGTATCAGGATTCTAGTTTCTCCACCTTCCACTGAGCGCCTACTTTATGGTTTTTGTTTTTTAAAATTAACCATCCTCATTGGTACGAAGTGTTCCGTGGCTGATAGGTATTTTTCTCATGCCACGGATGCCACGTATCTTTCCAGGTACTGTCATTATGTCGGTATTTTCCTTTATGGTGTGTGCTTTGTGGTTTCGTCCTTATGGGAGTCCTGCTTACCCTGAGGTCAGTAGCAGCTCCGTGGGTCGCTAGTAAGTCGCTCTCCTGGCAGTCCCCTCTCCTCCTGGGACCCACTTGCGTGTGGTATGATGAGTGATATCGCGTCTTCCCGGGCCAGCGTCTCCGTCAGCCTCCCCTCGGCGGCCGGCTGCCGCAGCCCTGGCTCATCAGCCGTCGTGCAGGCAGAGCGCTGCGTTCTCGTCTCTTCCTCGCTTGCCTAAGCCAGGGCTTGAGCGCTTCCGGCCGTTGCGAGCTTTCGTTCCTCCGTGGACATTATTGCCGAAGTAGAAGGGATAGGACGTCTTCATCGAGTCTTCCAAATTACAAATATTGGATATTTATTGCCTGCCCCTTTCTACTTTGAGGATTCTAGTTATATGAATGTTTGTTGAATTGGCACAGAGTGAACTATTATATGACTAATCTGTAAATTCTTTCATTTTTATTTTGGACAATTTTTATTGTTCTATTCACTTACATTTGTGAATAATTTATTTACAATGTGCAATCTATTATTAATCTCATGCTATGTATTCATTTCAGAAATATTTCTCTAAAATTCACTGTCTACATCTAATATCTTTCACATTTCAGTATTTGTCTACAATTTTTAATATGCTATATAATTATTAATTTTCATTAAAGTTAATGAGGAAAAAACAAATATTGTAGTAAAGCCTTCTTTGCTGTCTTTTGAACAGTTTTAAATTTTTGACATTAAAATCTGGAGACCTCTTGGATTGAATTTATCCCCGTACTTTTAAGCTATGAAAAATGCCCCTTTAAAGTTATTTCCTAATTAGGGAAGATGCAGGGAGACACATTTCCTTTTTCTGTGCCTGTATGTACTTTGTATATTGATTTGATGTCCAGCAAAGTACTGAGCTCATTCATCCTAATAATTATTACCTTTCTTTGAGTGATCCATCCATATAATCTAGTAGTAGTAAAACTTTGCTTCCCCAAGTGTGGTGGTGCTTGCTTGTAATCCCAGCACTCAGGGAGGCTGAAGCAGGAGGGTGGCAAGTTCAAGCTCACCCTGGACCACATATCAACTTAATTAAATTTTGTCTCAAAAAGTATTTTTAAAAGGCTGGGAACGTAGCATAGTGCAGGTACACTGGGCTCGGTGCTGAAGGCCACAGTTTTTTTTTCTTCTTTCTGAATAATCTGCATAGCTTTATTGTCTTATTTATTGTGCTGGAAGGGGCCTCCAACTAAAAAGCGGTGGAGTAGGGCCCTTTGTCATAGTCCTGAGTTAGAGGAAATATTTGCAACATTTACTATTAAATGATGTATATAATTTTTTTTGTGGGTTTTTTTGTTTTGTTTTGTTTTGTTTTTTGGGGGAACTGGGGATTGAACTCACGCCCTTGCGCTTGCCAGGGAAGCACTTATTGCACTGAGCCACCTCCCCGGCTCCTGCGTATAGGTTTTATGTGGCAAACTTTCATCAGGCTGATGAAGTTTTCTTCCTTTCCTAGTTTTACAAAACTACAGTTTAGTTTCTTATGAATAGATGTTAGATTTTATCAGATTGCTCTGAGAAGTTCTTCGCATTCAAATTCTTCCGTTCTTGTTTCTCTGTAGCCGAGAAGTTTGTGACCCTGACATCGGCGGCAATATCATCATGTGTCCTCAGTGTGACAAGCTCTGTCCGTTCTGGAAGCTCAACATTACCTGCGAGTCCTCCAAGGTAGCCTTCGGTAGCCTGAGTATTTGCACCCGGGTCAGACTTTTCAATTCTAGCAATCGCTTAAATATGATGTAGAAATTATATTGTTTTCCTCTGAGAAATTTGGGAAGATATTGTTCAGCCAAACTCACAGTCTGGAAGGTGATGTGTAACGTGTGTTTATTCCCCTTTTAGAAATAATAGAGATTAAAAGCACTACCTAAAAATTTCATAGAGAGTCAGTCAGGAAATGGTGCAGTTGAAACACTATTTCAGGTAATCAGAAGTCTCAGACCCAGCTTATTTTATGAGAACTTTTTTTTTGGGGGGGGGGCAGGGGGCGGAACTGGGGATTGAACTCACACCCTTGCGCTTGCCAGGCAACCACTTATTCTGAGCCATCTCCCCAGCCTCTTTATGAGAACTTTGATTTATTATTAATGTGTCTTATGAATAGAAATCGAAAATGTGTACTTGTGAAATTTATGTTTTGTATCTTTCAAAGTATGCTGAAATGATGCTTGGATCTTTAGACCTTGCTGGTTGGATTTAGACTACATATATAAAAACATTTATAATTTTGTATGTAAGGGAGAAAAGGTGTTTGTCTCAAAACATCCCAGAGAAGGCATCCAGCTGCCTGTAAACATCCAGGGTGCTTGAGCTCCTAAAACTCCAGAGGTTCAGGACAAGGGGGGAGCTTAGGGACAAGCAGGCTGGAGATTTCAGGGAGCGCGAAGGCGCACGGCCAGCCGCTTCTGACAACCCTGGCTCTCTGACAACCTGGCGCTCTCCCTCTTCTTGGGATTCTCTTGTCTTGCCGTGAGAGTTAGGGATCAGCTCGTGGCCCTGGAGCCTTCTGACCTACTACAGGTCGAATGATGCCACTGGAATCCGTACTTTATACCTTTCCAGGTTTTTGCACAGATGTCACTGCTTTTGACACTGACACCAGCTAAGGCCGCCCGCCGGCAGCTGGCAGTGCGTGGGCCCCACATCTGCGCTGCTCGCCACTGCTGCGTTCCAGTGTGCTGGGCATTCGCTCCCAAGGCCAGATTTGCATTTGAAAGCAATTGCACCACTTGGTAACAACGATTGTCGGGATGTCAGCTCTCGGGGGGGGGGGGGTCCCCTTATATTTATGAATTAAAGTTGAGCGCTCCCCCACCCAACTACAAATATCTCTACTAGATTTCACAGAGTAATGCTGGCTCTAATTAAGGGTCACTAGGACACATCGGGAGGCCCTGGACTTAGAGGAAATGCCGTCGAGAGTCTGAGAGGCCAGCTGAACTCAGAAAATCCAAGTGGACGGTCCGCCTCCCTGAAGCAGTTCTCTCCCTCGTCCCTCCCACACCTCTTCTCTCCTTTCTTCTGCTCCAGCCTTAACATGGATTTTCATGTCTCTCTGACCAGTTCTTTCCATTGTTTTGGAATCTCACGTGAACTTGGCTTTAGTCTTTTTTTAAAAAAATATATTTGGTGCAGGGTCTGCAGGGCCTCACTACACAGATTGGACTGGTAGTGATCCTCCTGTTTTCAGCCTTCCAAGTGTTGGGATTACAGGCGCACTCAACCCACCACGCCCAGTCTCAGTGCGCCCCAGGGGCAGGGCTGGCAGGCCACACCAGGGATTAAATCAGGTCCCTGTGCCTGTCTAAGCAGGCACGTTAGTCTGCTGAGCTATCTGGCCAGCTCTTTTTACTGTGGTTTTGAAAGCTCTCTTCAATCTTGCCAGTGTGGTTTAATGAAGGAGGAGACATATAAAAGAACATGAAAGAAATGATGGAATGGAAAAGAAAGTCCCAGAAGGGGCACATTTTCTAGCTTTACTGTTGATTGGTTAATCCATTTATTCCTTTCTCGCTTTATGCCTTTGTTCGTGTAATTTCTAGCTCTTTCTTTTGGAAGAGACAGACTAATCACTAACTGATGTGTATACTGAAAGGACTGGCCAAACGACAAGTAGTGACATAAAGTCAGGACCAAGGAAGTGAAGAAACGACGCTGCAGACAGTAGGACTGACGCCTTGTACCCGCGGACGAGGAGTTTCAGCTTTGTGGCTCACGTGATAAAAGGAAACACGGCAAATTCTAATACTTTGCTCCTAGAAATACATTAAGTTACAAAGTTTTTATTTTAATGCTTTGAAGGGAGAAAGCATGACACGTCTTTGTGTGTTCTGATTGGCCTTTCTGCCCAGAGTTGCCTCACCTTCGCGGACGGCACTGTTTCCCCTGCTTCGAGTGACTCAGATGTACACAGACCAGGGCTACTCTCGACCTGCTGCCACCCTCCCTGCTGTCAGGCTGCACAGGCCATGCGAGGCTTCTTATTAAGAAAGCTCCTTGAGGCCAGGGAGATGGCTCAGTAGAATAAGCACTTCCCTGGCAAGCACAAGGGTCTGAGTTCAATCCCCGGTTCCGCAAAAAAAGGGGAAAAAAAAACCCTTGCTCACAGTGCCCGTCTTCCCTTTCCCATGTGGCTTTCATGAGGCTTGGAGCAGAGAAGTGAAACATCTCACTCTTCCTCCTGGGTTCTTGATTCTCACACATGTGGCAAGAATTCCGACTTCCTCCGGGCCGACCCCTCCTAGGCCTGCAGGGCCTGCGCCCCTTGAGCCGTGCAGCCAGGTTGCTCCTGGCTGGGAATGTAGTGCTGTGCCTCGCCACTTGCTTCTCCCTCTGCCCCTGGCAGCAGGTTTCCACTGCCTTTCCCCAGAGTCGAGCTGAGGTGTCACATGTAGTAATTTTTATTTCCAGAGTGGGTAGGCAGAAGTGTCAGGGCAAACGGGGAGGGTTGCAATGAGTCCTAAAATGGGTGTGACATTGGAGGGCATCTTTAATTTATAACATGCAAGAGCTGTTTTTCATAGGACTTTTCTCATAATTTACAATAAAGGTTAAAGCATACCATTAAAACACAGCTCTCGGGGTTTTGCTGGATAGTTCAGTTGTTTAAAGCACCGCTTGGGCAAATGCAGTCAGGTGCATGGGACTGCAGTTCGATTCCCAGCTCCAGAAGCTGCACCAGGCCTGCCCTTAAGGCAGCCTGAAGTAGCCAAGAAAAAAAAATCCTTCTAAAAGTGCTAAAAAGTTTTAAATATGTGCTTTCTAGAATCCTAAGACCAGCAGCGGAGGTGGAGAGCATTGTTCGCCCAGAGCGGGCCACACTGATTGATTCTGCCTCCTTTCAAAGCTGGAGTTTTGAAAAAAGTAATTGAGACCGTTTAGGGTCTTGCTTTCTGATCAAGACAAACGCGAATGAGCAAGGGCACGTTTATGTGCTTTGGAGACCGGACGGACCAGAAACCGGCAAGGCTTTTTCTTTTTAGTAAAAGTAGCATGACGAGTGTTTCTCGGTAGGTAACCGTTTACCTGCTGTCCACGCGGAGAGGGCCTGGGAACTCCGGGCGGCCGGAGGCGGCCGGCGCGCTTCAGCGTCTGGAAAGCTTGCTTTTCTTTTCACCCCTTGTGCTGCTTCTAGCCCAGCCGCGTCTTCACTTTGCGTGATTATAAGGCACCTATATCGAGGCCACTTTCGCTTTTATCTTCACAGTTTTACGGTACGTGAGGACACTGACACGCAGTTTGTAGCCGACTGAAAGCGCGCCCGGGAAGCCACAGCTCGGCGTGGGCCATTTTTGTAGCGGTGCTGGCAAGGCGGCCACTGCGCGTTATTGACCTACTATTGTGCTAGGAAATGTTTTAGTTTTTCCATAAAATAAAAAAAATTAATACAAAGATAACAAATGAAGAGTTTGTGAAATTCAAGTTTCAGTTTCAGTAAATAAAACTTTATTAGACACACACACACACACACACACACACACACAAATCAGACTTAGCAGGACTAAAGACCAGAGCCTCCCTTGGCCGTGCGACGTGCCTGTGTTGCTTGTCACCGTGACGGCGGTAATGTTAGAGAGAGCTCCTGTGCACGCCTTGTCCCAGCACAGCACCTGCCGGCCGGGCTCTTGTGGAGCCGCACCGGCGCCCACAGAAGCACAGCTTTGTACTTCTTTTGATAAGAAAGGCGGGAACTCTGGAACTTGCTCCTTGGAGGGGTGCAGTGCGAAGATGCGAACCATAAATGTGGAAGTTGCTTACTGGGCAGTAAGTCGGTAGAGCCGCTGTGTGCCTCACACTCAGACGACAGCTCGTAAAGGGGCCGTGTCCCAGCCCTGGCAGAGGCTTTGAACGGAGAGGGATCTTAATAGCGGCACGTGTTTTCTTTATCATGCCGTGGAAAGATTCCACGGGAAGACACGGGCGGTACGGCACAGGCTGCTTGCTCGGGAACAGCGAGAAATCCCACCTGTAAGCCTGCTGCATGGTGGCTGTTCAGCTCGGTATGGGCTTTGAAAGAAGCTCAGACTGAACGCACGAGACGTTGCATATGTACGTAATTCTGATAAGTGAATTACTTGATTCATTTACATGTTATTCTTTTCCAGAAATTGTGCATCTTTGACAGTTTTGGAACTCTAGTCTTTGCAGTATTTATGGGAGTGTGGGGTAAGTCTCCATTTTTATACATTCAGTTTAATAGTATTGCATGATTTTATGTAGACTCTGACTTGGAAGACCTTGGACTACCCATCACTCTGAAGCCATTGTATCTGTTAGTTTTTACTGCTTAAAAGTGTACCTTCACATGGTAGTGGTAGGGCTAGAGAGAGAGCTTGGCGATCTAAGTGCCTGCCTAGCAAGTGCAAGGACCAGAGTTCGATCCCTGGTACTGCATGCTTTGTGGTGCACACCTGTAATTCCAGTGCTGGCGAGGCTCGGACAGGAGGATCACTACGAGTCTGAGCTGTGTAGTGAGACCCTATATCAAATAAATGAATAAAATTTGGGGGCCTGGGAGATGGCTCAGTGGAATAAGCGCTTCCCTGGCAAGCGCAAAGGCCTGAGTTCAATCCCCGGTTCTGAAAAAAAAGAAGAAAAAAAAATGGTAGTAGTTTAAGGCATTAAACCCTGTCACTGCATTTCCTATTCCCATGATTTCATGGGGCAGCTGGAAGGCTTTTGCAGCAAGGAGTGGCTCACGTAGCTCTGCAGTGAGCTGGTGGCGCCTCTGGGGTTCATGGCCTGGCAGTCAAAGGCCTGCATAATCTATGGGGCTCGGCTGGGAAAGGGTCCTCTGTGCTCCGTGGGTCGCCCGTCCTGCCCATCCTGCCCAGCGCAGGACTCTTCCCATGGATTCAGGGTCCCAAAGAGAAACAAGGCAAGAAGAGCCCCAAGCAGAGGCATTGTAAGCACATGCTTGCATTGGGCTAGCAGTCGCCGAGCAGAACAGATCCTGTATGGCCAAGCCAGCGTCGGTGTGGGGATGGGGGGGGGGGCACCCAAGGGCGTCGGTACAGGAGCACGATTCACCCTGCGGACCCTCTCTCTAGTGCTTGGGACTGAAAACATTTCAAAGTCTTTCCATCTTATGGAATATTTGCATAGATGACCAGGTGGGCATCCCTAATCCAGAGCTCTGAAATCTGGAATGCTCCACTGTCTGGAGTATTTTCAGCATACCGTGTCAGTGCTCAAAAAGTTTCAGATTTTGAAGCATTTTCAAATGCTGCAGAAGTGGGAACCCTGCTGAAAAGTGGCATTTTCAGCATTGTTGTTGGAGACCACACTGTGGCCGGAGTCAGCACATAAAAATGAAGATCAGATTTTTGTACTCAGATCGCCGTCCTCTTCCACTGTAAAGTGCATTTGTTGTCCGTACAGTAAGAGATCAGGTCCCGGACACAGGGGTCGGTGCTTTTAACTGCGGGCTCACAGTCTCTGCACCAATTTGTAATCTCTGCAACCAATCCGTCTGTTGAGCTCTGTTAACACTAGTGAATGTTGACTGCAAAATAAAGCGTTTTAAATAAAGCAAAAAATACACATTGATTTTGCTAGGACAGACCTGAGGTTTCCTGCTCACCTTCCTGTCCTCTGGTCGCCAACTGTTCCACACGGATAGGCCTGCCTGTTGCACCAGGCTAAATGTGTTTCATCTGATGTTTAGAGTGCAGAGAACATTGCTGCACCGCCTGCAGCATCGTGCGCGGCTCTTTAAGCACCTGTCTAGATGAGTAAGTGCTGTATGTTGCTTTCCTTGTCGCTGCCTCATGGGAACTACTGCTGGGAACTTTGTTACAGAAAGTCTGAGGCTGGAGACCCCAACAGGAGGGAAATTCATGTGACATTATTTGTGCAATCACCTTCGAACTCCTGCACCATCATTTATCCCACATGGATGTGGAACTAAGGGTGTTTTTCTCCTTGTTGGAAATGATAAAAGTTGAGGGCAGAAAACCTTTTATAATGAATACAGTAAAATCATATACATGTATGAAAAATGCCCTCCCTTTAGGTTAAAGCCGCTCCCCCCATCTTACTGACTCATGGAATCCTGAACCCCACCCGTGGGTGTAGTAAAGACTCTGAGCACACGCGCTCCCCCTGCCCTGTCTTCTACCTCTCAGCTGCTTCCACTTCTCAGCTGCTTCTACCTGATTCTCCCAGGTCAGACTCCTGGCCACTTGGGCTAGAGTCGTCCATTTTTGTATCTGAATGGTCAATAGGCCCTTGTAATTTCTAGAAAGTAAAAGCTGATACTCTTGACTTACCAAGGATCTGTGGAGCCTGGAAGCCTCGCTAGCTCCACATGGGACCGAGAAGTGGCTGTTGTGACCGTCCTTCCCAGACTTGTGCTGCTCCTCGGCGTCTGCATCAGCATGGTGTCGGTGCCTGCGGCCCCTCCTCTGTCTCCATTCAACTGTCTCTGATTTGGGAGACTCACAGAGGGCTCTGGTAGTCACTGAAGTAGTCACATCTCAAACGCTAGCTGCAAGAGAGGCTGAGAGATGCAGTTTCTAACCTCCTTCAGGTTATGGAGTGCAGTCAAGACCGAGCAGGCCAGCCTGCCTCTGGACCTTTAAGTAATGAGGTTGGGAGAGGTTCAGGGCCTGTTAAGACATCACAGATCTTAAAGACATTTTCTTTTCTTTTTTTTTGGTGGAACCGGGGATTGAACTCAGACCCTTGTGCTTGCCAGGGAAGTGCTTATTCTACTGAGCCATCTCCCCAGCCCCAAGACATCACAGATCTTCAGCAGGAAACTCTCTTGTCATGAGAACACTCACATCTTCTGGAGCAGTCTCTTGTCCGTACTCATTGTAGGATATAATGCCCTGACAGTGTGCTGCTCTAAACCATTCTTTTGTGTATGGCATCTTCCTCTGTTTTCTGTCTTGTCTATCTATCTGTTCGTTTGTCCATTCACTCATTCATTCATTCATTCATTCATTCATTCATCAGTTGAGGTGGGGTCTCCCAGCTCATTCAGTAGCCCAGGCTGGCCCAAACGCGTGGCACTTCTCCTGCCTGGCCTCCCGAGCACTGGGAATTCAGGCCTGCACCACCATGCCAGCTCCTGAGAACCATGATTGAGAGGAGCAGCTTGTTGTTCCTGTGACCTAGACAGCCCTCCCTCTTTTCTTACATGAGATGTGAGTGTTTTACCGAATGGACTAGAGCTTCGGCTGGAGTGCGATTTGCCAGCGAGTAAGGGCGCAGCACCCCGCGGTGCTCCACTGGCCATCTTACTGCAGAGAGAGGGAGCAGAAGACCCCGAATTCCTGTCTGTGGCCACACATGATCATTCCTGGCCCAGGGCTCTTGGTGAGGCCTGCGCATGTGGGTTCACCCTGGCCTGGTCTCGGAGCACAGTACCCTAAAACCCTCGGTGACCATGCCAGGTTCCCAGCGCTTCCACGGACCCGCCCTCCCCTGCACCCTGCCCGCAAGGGATAAGAGGAACCAAAACTCCCACCCACCCGTTCTGGAACTCCCAGGGGCTTTCTTTGTTTTCCAGGCTGAGAGTTTGCTAACAGAACATGGCATTTCTTGTTACAGTGCAGTGTGTCACTTAGAAGAGACTTGACCCTGAAGTTCAGGATTCAGTTCACATCAGCCGTTCTGCCCCTTCTGCTCTAGTTGGAGGAGGAAGGGGAAGAATAGCCAACGTGCTGTCATAATAAGAGCATTTACTAGAATTGCTTATCTTGCCTTTTTGTGAGAAAAGAGGTTTATTTTCATGAAGCATCTCCTGTTGACACAGTTGCAAGCTAGAGACTGAGTAAATGATACGATTTTAAAGGCACAGAAAATGGCAAGTGGCTTAAGCAAATTATCTAAGGCCCTATGCGCAGAAAGCAACCAGCAACCAGTAGATTAAGAAAGAGCCCTGCAGATAATTTGGCTGGATCCTTGATAAAGTGTGATGGACATTAATAAACTTGAAGCAAGGTCTTGGAAAGGTGAAAACAGTATGTATTTTGACTGACAGAACAGCACTGTTTTGTTTGGAGCTATAAAAGGTAGGAATAACTTAGGAAATGTCAGCTTCATCTCCTTGGTTCTGTCTCATCTGACATGATTATTGACCTTTCTATAACACAAATAAGGTGTCGCCAGTCTTCCAGCATATTTCAATAGGTTTTTGAGTACTGGTTTGCTCCATTTATGCATGGAGGCGTGGTATTGGTCCGTTTGCCATTGCTGTAGCTGGGTCATGGATGAAGAAAAGAGGTTTATTGAGCACTCAGTGTGGGACATTGAAGAGCATGGTGCTCCACTGGTCCCACTCTAGTGGGACCCCTGTGGCTGTCTCACAGAAATGATGGCATCGTCACAGGAGCATGAGGAAGGCAGGAAGCCAGCTCCTGGGGAAGGGCCATCCTGCCCACGCCCTTGGGGACTACATCATCACTGCGAAGGCAGTGCCCCTGAATCTCAGGCACCTCCCATGGCGTCACACTCCTCAGGGGATGGCTCCCAATGTCCCGAGTCACAGTTTCTTCTAACATACAGTTAGGTTCAAAGACTACGTGAAATCTGTGATGGCAGGAGAGTGCACGAGGTGATCCCGCAGTCCATCTCCCCCGGACTCTGTCCAGCAGTCAGGCTTTGAGGATAACTATGATGTCAGCAGTAAACTGTCAAATTCTCTGTGGTGCATTGTGTGCTTGCCACCTCGGGCTAGACAGACCTGCAGGCCCAGGAGGATTGGCACAGCCAGGAGTGGCGGAGAGTAGACGTCATGCATAGCAGGGCAGTCAGCATCAGCCAGAGCCCGAGTGGACGGTTTCCCAAGTCCTGGGGCACCTTTTACTGTCTGGCGCAGTTTCTTTGAATTCATTCGCTGCAAGCATGACATGCCTACTGTGTGCTACAGCCTTGGCTGTGAACAAGCAAGATCACCATTGATGATCATGACATCTCAAGAAGGTGACATTCTTGAGGGTGCAATAGTCAAGCTGGAAGCATATGTAGACCAGGACACATGCCTGCTAGGTATGCGGGAGAGCAGAGTGGGCTTGACACTGGGAATAAAGTACATTCTTCTTAAGAACATGTACAGCTGTCACCGGCATGATCTCATAGTGATGGGGGGGCAGAGCTGAGAGAGCTTCCGGGATGGGGGCATAATGCAGTAATAGCAGTAGAGTTCTTGGATAGATTCAGGTAGGGTCTCCTGTCAGTGGAAACGTATAGGGGTCTGCCACGGCAATAGCGCAGGGGACTTCAGCAAGCAGGCAGCATGTGGTGCACTGCTTCATGTGCAGCCCGGGAAGGTTGGTTCATGCGCACGTTGTGCCACCCAGCCGGGGTCTGTTTAGGGCGGCAAGATTGTGTCACACGTGGTCCCTTAAGGTTTTCTTCCCATGGACAAAGATTAGTTTCATCATTTCCTGTGGACAGGGACAGGGACAGGGACAGGGACATAAATGCCTAGCAAACCTTTAGTTATAAGCCATCACTCTGCTCGCTGTGTATGGTTTGAGCCTGATTCTGACCCGAGGGTTGTCTCTGCTCACTTCCTGATATGGGAAGAATAGCAGTCAGCACAAACACTGCTCGAAAGTGGGTGCTTTTAAACACTTCAATCCCTGCCCCCCACTGGGGAGTGCATTAGAGTTTAGAAGCAAAACAAAATCCCATGCTCAGCCCCCATTCCAGACTGATTACGTCAGAATCTTGGAGGCAGTGCCTGGGTTCAGACTTTTTGAAACTCCCCAAGTGCTGCTTATGTGCAGCAGGTGAGCTCTGGCCATTCTCGGGGCCTCATGCGGTGACCTCGTCTGCTCCAAGGCAGGCCCCCCTCCCCTGTCCCACAACGAGGACTCCTCCTGGCTCAGCCCATTCTCAGCCCTGTATTCTCTGCTGAACACCTGCCTCCCGGCCTCTGTCCTTGAGGGGCCCCAGACCCCGATCATCACTGAGCCAGTCTCCCCTCTCAGACTTGCTCCTCCAGTTGCATTTCCTGAAGTGGAATTAAAGGCGCTGCTTAAACCAGAAACCTGGCATCCTTAGCCTCCTGCCCTCTGACCCTCGTGTGTCTCAGCAGTCTCGCTATTCCCCTCCCTCTGAGATGCTGCCTTGTCATGTCCCTGTCTGAGGGCATCCCTGCCTCGCTGTGGACTGCCTCCAGTGCCACCTCCTGCTTGGTGTGAAAGCCCTAACTTCTGAGGCGTGTTGGGCCCTGAGATCTGTCCCTGTGCTGTGCTGGCAGCTGCCACAGGGCCCCTCGGTCCACCTCGCCCCTTCATGTGCAGTTCCACCCACTGCCATCTGTGCTGGGTCTGCTCCAGAGTCACCTCCTGGCTCGTCACAGTGGTCCCCTCCCACAGGACGGCCTGCCCCAAAGCACAGCTTTGTCTGGACCCTGTGGGAGCCTGCAGTACGTTTGCCACCCACCACCCAGGTGTCCTCTGCAACACTGACTTCGCCTTGTTTGTTTGCAGAACTCAGCTGACAACGGCGAAGTATTTGAGGACAGCTGAGTGCTAATTCCGGAATGTCTACCTAGAGAGGATCGGGGGTAGCAGTCTGATTGGAAGGCTCTGAGGAATTTACCTGGAACCTACCCTTTCCATCACCATTTAATGTTTGCTATTTTGAGTTACAAATTCTGAAAAATGAGTCCTAAAAATTATTTTTCAGTCTTAGATTGAGAAAACTATCAGTTTCCTTCATAAGAGAATATTAACTTATTTAAAGAGTTAAAACATTCCTTTGTCCCTAAGAGGGGAGAAGGGAGGGAGTAAGGCAGGACATGGAGGAAAGTAGACAGAGTGGTTGGCCAGAGCGTGCTTTTAAATGAGGAATTATTTGTGTTTTTAGTTGGCAAGGAAGTGTTGGTAGCAGAGCATTCGTGTTAGATGTGCTGATGAGCGCCCGGGCCCTTCCTCATTACCTTTCCTGTAATCGGTGTCTGGTTCATAAACTATGAGGTATCAGCGTTCTCTCTTAAAAATCATTTTTAGTATCACTTCTGAGTTAGATTCCGTTCCCCATATGCAGAAGTACTCTGGGTGATTGATGCACTCTGCGTGGATTTCTGGGACGTCACTCACCCTTCATTAGCAACCACGTGACCCTGTTGTCTCCCTTGCTCAGTGACTTTGTTCCTGGAGTTCTGGAAGCGGCGCCAGGCGGAGCTGGAGTACGAATGGGACACTGTCGAGCTGCAGCAGGAGGAGCAAGCACGGCCAGAGTACGAAGCACAGTGCACGCACGTGGTCATCAACGAGATCACTCAGGTACGCGGCGCGGTTGGCTGCCGTCCCTGCTGGCCGCGTGGCTCCCAGCCTGGCCTGCGCACTGGAATGAGCATGGCAGCGCAAGGAATGCTGGCATCTGGATTGCATCCGTCGCGCTGCACGGCTGGCAGCCGCGTGCGTTCCGGGCATTGAGTTACGCCTTTGGTTTTTGGTGGCTGAGCTGCTCAGGTGAGTCTGATGTACCAGCCATGGTGGAGAAACACTGCCTAAAACAGTAAGCACTGGGAACAAATGCAGCCCCTTCTTTGGTAATAAATGTAAAAATGCTCCTCAGAGCTACACTGAGAGATGGCTGTATAAGGAAAACTGCATTGGTCCTTAACATCGATTCTCAACTCTTGGCGTGCACCTTCGCCACAGTCCCTTCACTGTCCTCACCCGCTGTCCCTGTCTTTCCCTGAGCCTCAGTGACTACTCCACCTTCTGCTGGAGAGGTGCACTAAGTGGTGTGGCTGTCACGCTAAAGTCAGGGCAAAAGGATGGCGAAGGGAAACAGTTAACGGTCATTCGACAAAGTTCAGGCACTGTGCTAAGCATTTTATGCCATTGGAAAAGTAGACCTGCTGCAGCTGCCACTATGGCTGCAAAAATAAAACTGTAGTCCCAGTAAGTTCTAGAGCTGCCGGAAGGAGACTTTTGAATCCTCGCATTGTTGCTCCTGCCTACCAGCAGGCAATTCAGAGCCAAGCGTTCTGGCAGGAGTCGGCATAGCATGGTGGTCTCCAAATAGGGACCAGTCTTGGAAGGGAAGTGCTTCCCTAGGAGCCACCAAGGCCGTCCCCCCAGCTATAGATGTCGTTGATTGAATCTCATATTAATAGAATGTTGGCACCAAAAGGCCTGAGGGAGCAGGTCACACTCTGTTGTATAAATGAAAAAAAAAAAAAAAAAATGAGGTTCGGTTATGAATAGGAGGTGACATTTATCTCGTAGTAACAAGCCACAAGTAAGTCCCGTTATGTGCAGTTACCACTGTTTCCGAGAGAAGACAGGGTAAGGCGCATTGCTGAGGAGTGTGGAGTGCAGGCTGACAGCTGACACCTTGATAAAATTAGATGTTCAGAAAGAGGTTTGGCCGGGGGGGGGAGGGGCTGTGGGGGGGGGGGGGGGGACCTTACAGTATCAACAGCATAGAAAAGTACTTCAAAAAAGATGATTTGTTTGCTTAAGCTTACCAATTTCATAGTTAAAACTGCCAACCAATAAAGTAGCTAAAGTTTCACAAAAATGTTGCTTGTTAAGAAATTGCAGGTGAAGATTCAGCTTTCTGTATTTTTCTTCCTCGTTTCACTCCTCTTGCTCGGACATCATCCTCTGGTTTTGAAAGGCTTGGGCATGATGTCGTTCTGAGTCTTGGGAATGAAGTTGCCTTACTAGTTGGGGCACCTTGGACACATCATTTAACTTGTCTACACCTCAGTTTCCTTATCTGTAGAATGGGACTAACAGAGTCGCTTTTGCATTGTTGACTGAGTTCATGTACGAAGTCCACTTAGAATAATACCTGGCGCAGAGTAAATGCCAGGTTAGCATTGGCAGCTGTTCTGTGCTGTGGCTGCTCTGACCATTCAAGTAAGATTTCTCCTCTTAAGAATCTAAATTTATTCTTCTAAACTATAAATTGGGGACTGTCTGAACACATAGAGCCCAACGAAGCACGTCTGGGGTCCTGGCGTCGACGGGCGTGCACACAGCTCCTCTCTTGCCTGTGCGCCGTGCACGTACTAGGCAGTGTGCCCGCCTCTAACGCCCAGGACGCGCGGGATGCTGCTGTGCCGCCGGGCATCGCCGGGTGCCCCGGCTCCGAGCGTGGGTCATGCTGGGGGACGGTTTGCTGCTCACGCTTATATGCTGTAGGAACCGTTACTGAAAACACGGCACCTGTTGTGTGTCTACTTGAAATTGTTAACGAAAGCGTATGATTATAAGGAAGGCTGCGGTTGCAAACTAATGTAATTAAATAAACCGTAAGACTCATCGGCAAATCGAGAGAAAAATGGTAGGGTCAGCATGAGTCCTGGACCAACGGGTGTCTTTTCTGTGCTAGGAAGAAGAGCGCATCCCGTTCACCACCTGTGGGAAGTGTATCCGGATAACCCTCTGTGCCAGCGCCGTCTTTTTCTGGGTAAGGAGCACTCGCAGCTATTCTTGAGTAATTTATTATAGAAAAATACTTTGAAAGGGCCAGCCAGCCACATAGTTCAGCAGATTAAAGCGCCTGCGAGCAGGCGCAGGGGCCAGAGGTTCAGTCCCCGCCCCTGGGGCACGCTGAGACAGCGATTGAGACTGGGCGTGATGATGCGCACCTGTAATCCCAGCTCTTGGGAGGCTGTAGACAGGCGGATCACTACGAGTCTGATCTAGTAGTGAGACCCTGAACACCCTGCAGACCCTTCCATAAAAATACAAAGAAAAACAAACCTTTCAAGATAGGATTTTAAATACCAAGAGAAAGGGGCCAGGGATCTAGCTCAGTGGCGCAGCACCTGCCTGGCAAGTGCAGGGTCATGAGTTCAGTTCCTGGTACCAGAAATAAATACATACGAACATACATGCTAAGGAAATGAAAAGCCGGAGCTGCAGCCGTGGCCTCAGAGTGCTCTGTCCCCGGAGCGCTGCGCCGTCACTGGCTGGACTCGCCTTAAGGTTCTGAGACGCGTTTCCTGCTCAGGGCGCTTCTACGGGGTCTTGGCACTGCCCAAGTTTCAATCAAGCCAGTGGCTTAGGATTTTCCAGTTCCTGGTAAAGAAACTAAATGGGAAGCGCTAACAATCTTTAAAAGTTTTGCAGCAGCAACCATCCAAATAAGATGTCTAGGAACAGCCTTTGCGTAAAGATAAGAACTAAAAAATTAAAAATCCATAAAAACTACTCAATGATATAAAAAGAAACCTTGAGACTGGGCGTGGTGGCAGCCGCCTGTAATCCCAGCTCTTGGGAGGCTGTAAACAGGCGGATCACAAGGAGTCCAATCTAGTAGCGAGACCCTGCACACCCTGTAGACCCTTCCCCCCAAAAAAATACAAAAAGAAAAAGAAACCTTAAATGATGATGTATCAAGGAGAATATTTCTAAACTATATCTTTACTAGAATTTAAATTTTTGTTTATTAATAAGATCATTTAACGAGTCTTATTGGATCAAGAACCACCAGATAGGTCAGATTAGAGAACAGGACATTAGAAATGGGCTCTGATGCAATAATTTAGAGGCAGGAGGTGGGGAGGCATTGTATGTGCATGGGACAGATGAAAATTATTTGGTTGGGTTCTTTAGTAGCCAGATTTAATACTCATTAAGGATAGGAAAACAAATACACATGGGGTGGGGGGACAACCCGCTCGGGCCCCCCTCCTGTCCCTCTCTAGGACAGGAGCTTTCTTTCCCCCAATAAATAAATATATATATACATATATATATATATATGAAAAGAGATTATTTCACAAATGGAAGTGGAATACTTCTGAGCCAGTGGGAGAGACAAAACAAAAGTTAAACCCGTACTTTAAATCGCCACACTACAAGAAATTTCCAAAGCATTTTTTAAAATTATAAACCATAAAGTAGAAATACTATACTGTACTAATGAACGTACGGTCTCCAGCAGCAGACGACCGAGGAAAATAGGTACGTATTTCCATGCACCAAAGTTAGACAAACAAAACACTAGAAAAAAATGCTTGTTAACAGGATAAAAGTTTAATACCTTTGGTGCAGAGGAATCCAGACCATGTATAGAGTAACACCAGAAATCATAGCAGCAAGGGAGTCAGAACATAATTGCGCATTTACAAGAGAAAAATACAGGGTGATGAATAAGAGTGAGAAAAATGTCAAACCTCAATAGTAACCCAACAGGGTACTCATTAAAATATGATTTTCTCTCCTCTCGGTCAGGCTCCGCATTTCTGAGCACAGCTGTTCTGCTAGGAATTGGGGTCTCACCTTACCCCAGCCTTCCTAGAAAGTAGTGTGGCAACTTGTATTAAGAGTCAAAGCTGGTAAGATACCTCAGTGGACTAAGCGCCTGCTTAGGCGAGTGCAGGGACTGGGGTTCAATCTCTGGCACCACATGCCATGCTGGTCCTGCCCCCGGCACGCTGAGCCAGCCAGAGTCCAAGGGTGATGGCGTATGCCTGTAATCCCAGCACTGGGGAGGCTGAGACAGGAGGATTACGATGAGCCTAAGCTGTGTAGTGAGACCCTGTACCAAATACATTTTAAAAAACAAAAGAGGCTCAAAAATACTCCTGTCCTTTAATGGTCTAATTTTAGAAACATTCAACCAACAAATATTTTGATAGAAAATTACTTCACAGCCGTTTTTCACAATATCTTATATACACATTCAGACTCATGTACACACATATATTTCAGCCAGAATGTCCTGGGTCAGACCCACCGTAATACAGCCTTGGGAAGGTGTACTCATGAAAATATTTTATGACATGTACAAATGCTGTCCTTCACAATTAGTTTCAAGAAGGACTAAAAAGGTTTTAAATATGCAAACAATACATAGTTCTGAAAGAAATGTTTGCATGTAAATAAAGGTAAGTTTGCCTGTTTTTAAAATATTTTTTTGTTATAATTTAACATTTTAATTGTAGGTAAAAAAAAAAATCAATCAGTGTGGACAATGGGAAAAATGTGAGGGTGGGATTTATAGTTTCTTAGGACTGAAAATTCTAGATGTGAGTGTAACTTCAGTCAGGTTTGCCAGTGCAGCTTGAATGACATCGAGGTCTGCGTTGCATTCTGTTACCTTATGGCATCCTAGGTGTCTTCCCAACAGGACGAGTGAAGGTGCTGCTGTAGGGTTGCAAAAGCACAGACCTCTGGGTCTGGCCTCAGTCGGAGCAAAAGGCTCCTGTTCACGGCTTCCTTGTGATAAAGGAGGCTTTTCTCCCAGGCCCTAGCAGACGCCTCCTTACATCTCATTGGCTCAGCTGCAGAAGCCAGTGGGCCGAGAGACCTTATTTGTCTCAAAGCAATCAGGATCTGCTGCCCTGGAGGGGGAGTGGGGATCCTTCCCCACTCCAGAGCTGAAAGTAGAGGAGGGCTTATCTCCACACACCGCCTAATTGGTATCCGAGTTCTCTTCTAGGAAGGGACTAGATCCAGTTGGGCAACGCCAACCAGTGTCCACTACAAAGTACTTGAAAAACTTGACAGGAACAACATGCTAAAATTAGGATCCTAAAAGTAGTTAGAATCAGACCAGTAAAAATCTTGGAGAACAAAAGCTCCCGTCTTTCTGTAAAGAAATGTCAAAGACATCCAGCATCCTGAAGAAGTGTAGAAACTTAGAAAGTTTGTGGAAGCTCCAGAATGCATTAGAATTCATCCCACGAATCCCGTGGACGGGCAGCAGTGCCTTGCAGGGCTCGGCGTGCCCTGGAGCTGGGCGCATCCCTGTCTTTTACTACCAGTTGCTTCATCTCAAGCGAACTGCATACTCTTGGATTCTGTTTTCTCATCTGTAGAACAAGTGTATTTCTCGCGTCTACGTCACAGGCTTATTATGACAACTCAGCCTGCGTGTATATGTGCTGACGTGAATAATGAGGAAGTGCTGTTTTTGTCACTTAACAAAGAAATACTGGTGTGCTTTTTAGAATCGTGTCGTACTGAGGCCCTGTGTGTGCTGTGCTGAGTGGGAGAGTCGGCTGGCGCCTCGTCTGCTTTCTCTCAGCCTTAGCAATGTTTGCATGTGTCCTCATTTCACAAGGGCCAACTGTGAAGGGAAGGAGAAAATTAGCACAGTCACCCGGGAAACATAATGCCTTTTTGAGACTGCTACGAAGTAAGAGAAACATTTCTTATCGCTGGTCACCAGACATAGTGCTTTCCATGTGCCTAGGCTTAGTGTTTTCACCTGTGGCCATTTGTTGCGTCTACCACAGTTCTTTGAATGAATCACTCTGCTTATTTGTGCCCACCATACAGATAGGAGAGTTGAGATCCAGAGGTTAATTTTCTTAAGCTCCAGCAGCTCCTGGCAGAGTGATGAGTCCCACGCAGGAGGCTGGCTCCAGGCCTGGCCGGAGTCATCGCTGCTTGCTCTCCACTGCTGAAAAGTGACCGCTCTGTTACTGTCAAAAGTGTGACGTGATGTGCTTGGTCCTCTCTTGTGGCTGTCACCACGAGCAGTCAGACGCACTGAGCACGTGGCTCTAGGTATGTCCAGGAAAGCCGTCCAGTAACGTCTGATGCTGTGTGTGGAGTAAGAAGAGACCCGTGGGACCTTTAACGCGTACTGCTCAGTGCCCAGAGAAAAGCTGCATTTGGGGACATAGAGTCCTGCCCCGTGCACTGCTTCAGGCACCCCGCTGGTGCCGGGCAGTGCACAGTTAAACACACTGTGGATCACTGCAGCAAATCTCGTGGAAATGCGGTATGCGTGCTTGTCAGCGGAAGATCTTAATCCGAGTGTAGAAAGTACTAGAAGGTTCATCAGCAGAGACCAGTTGGCACAGGGCACTTCTGACCAGCTTCTTGGCCGGCTCAGAATCTCCTCAGAGCCGGAGACAGGCTTCCTGTTGGAAGGGATCCTGTTTCCTGAATGGGCATCAAGCCACTACCTTCCAGCCTAAGCCATGCAGGAACGGCAGTAGATTCTTTCACTGGTTCTGCAGTCACACTCTTCTCACTGTCCCAATTTTATGTTGTCTGAAGATACACCGTTTTTAAACATGCTGTACAGGAGACTTACATAGATGGCACGGGCTTCCCATGCCTCCGCCTGCCCTTCACACAGCTGCCTGTGCTTAGCATCTTGCGTTCGCGAGTTCAGCCTCTTTTACGCCCACCAGTCCTTTCCCGTCTCTAGTCCTGTGTCCCTCCTCTTCCCGTAACATTTACATGAGATCCGCACTACTTTGCGTGCACACCTCGTGCACCCAGGCACACGCTCTGGTCACGGGCGTGTCTCACGCGGCTGTGCTTCCTGTGTTTCAGATCCTGCTGATCATCGCGTCGGTCATCGGCATCATCGTCTACAGGCTCTCGGTGTTCATTGTGTTTTCCACAACCCTTCCCAAAAGCTTCAACGGGACCGACCCGATCCAGAAGTACCTGACCCCGCAGATGGCCACGTCCATCACCGCGTCCATCATCAGCTTTATCATCATCATGATTCTGAACACCATCTACGAAAAAGTGGCCATCATGATCACCAACTTCGGTAGGAGCCGACCGCGCTGAGGCCGTTGTAGACTGCTTGGGCGTTGCGGGACTGCGGAAAATAGAGCCTGCCTTGTAGACACTGATATTCCTGTTGGTTACAAGTTTTAGAAATTTTTGAGCGTACGCATATTTTACCTAACCTGTATCAGAAATGCATCCCCTCCAGCTTTATAGGAGAGAAAGGTCGAAGCGGAGACAGTTGTGATAACGTCCAGCCTCTGTGTACCCAGATCGGTTCTGAGTAATGTTTTCAGTTACACCAGATCGCATAGCCTGTTGCTGAGAGCAGATAGTCTCTTTGTTGCAAATAAGTAGAAGAGGGTCTCATTCGAGCAGACAGTCCCACTGCTGTGTGTCTGCCCCCTGCTGTTGACATTAATCCTCACCCCCTCTGGCTTTACTGTCTGCCTGTCTTTTCCTGGTTTGTGTCCCAGGCAGCTGCTTGTGGCCGAGTCCAGTGCCTCCCTCACCTGTTCTCTGAGTGGACTCTCAGGGGTCGTTTGCAGACAATCAGAAGGATTCAGAGTCCAGACCAGGAGGGTGGCCTGTTCATCTTCCCAGGTGCCTTGGCAAGCAGCCCGTCTCTAGCAGACCCACTCGAGTGCGACTCGGGAAGATAAGAGCCCTCACCTAGTAGGCAGTTAGGGATATTTTCTTCTAGTTCCAACCTAAGACAGTACATAGCCTAGTAATAGTATATACGTGCATATATATTTGTTTTCACATGGGATATATCCATGTGGGGAGAGAACTTGAATAGCAATGTTTAGATGTGGAATCACACATTGGCTATATTAAGGAGCTGAAAACAGCCTCAGTGGAAACAGTGTGAATTGTGTTCTTTAAAACATGCTCCCTCATGTGTAGGTGTCGGATGAAGATCTGAAAGCTCTTCACAAATTGCACATCTTTTCTTTTACCTCCAGAACTCCCAAGGACCCAGACCGATTATGAGAACAGCCTCACCATGAAGATGTTCTTGTTCCAGTTCGTCAACTACTACTCATCCTGCTTCTACATAGCATTTTTTAAGGGCAAATTTGTAGGCTACCCGGGAGACCCGGTGTACTGGCTGGGGAAGTACAGAAACGAAGAGGTATGAAACGGGAGGGCGCCCGCTCGGCAGCTTAAGCTGCGTCTGTGTTCTCTCGGTTGCCGGATAAATAGTTTCTTCATTGTATATTCCGTAGGTGTTTTTAGCCTGAACAGAAGAAGTGTCAAAATGAATAGATCTGATAACTGTATTTCTTGTTACGCCCATCTAAAACCTAAGTGAGATTTTCATTTTGTCATGCTAGTGTGACCCGGGGGGCTGCCTCCTGGAACTGACAACTCAGCTGACAATAATCATGGGAGGAAAGGCAATCTGGAATAACATCCAAGAGGTCTTACTGCCGTGAGTACTTTTTTTTTTTTTTTTTTTTTTTTAGTGGAACCAGGGATTGAACTCAGGCCCTTGTGTTTGCCAGGGAAGTGCTTATTCTACTGAGCCATCTCCCCGGCCCCCCTTTTTTTTTATTTTAATGAGAAAAAAATAGCAATGAAACAATTTCAAAACAGGCTTGTAGGACAGTATAATAATTAATACATTGCATATTGTTGTCTTCATAGTATTCAGAGGACAAGATGCAGATGTGTCTTGTCTAGACAGTATTAGCACAGACCTTTCTTCTCAATGAACTAAGAGAAAGTTAGCTGTATAGCTATCCTATTTTATATATACATATATATATATATATTTCCTCTACAAAATGGTCCTTCATTTATATCCCTCTTTTTTGTTTTGTTTTGTCAGAGGTGCGTTTTCTGTTGTTGTTACAGAAGCTGTGTTTGGAGAAGTTTATACTAGATGCCAGTTCAAATATTGTAGGTGCTTGAATTCAGCAAAATAGCCCAATTTAGTCCCATAGTCCATGACAGTAGTGGGTTATCAGCAGAACTGGCAATTGTCTGAAGTTGTTGACTTGCGCCTTCTACAGCTCAGCATATTAATAAGGCATTACTTTTTATACCTCATGGTTATACTGTTCTACTGAATGGTTAAGACCAAGTTAAAGCAAGACCTATATAAGTAAACAAGTAACTTTTGTGTCTAGCAAGGTCAGTCGGATCCCCTCAGGATTTACCCTGAAACCATGTACAGCACCTTGTAGATCTTCTGTGTCAGCCATGTGGATGAGTCACAGGAAATCCTTTATTCTAGCTTTTTTTTTTTTTTTTCCAGTACTGGGGATTGAACTCAGGCCCTTGTGCTTGCCAGGCAGGCACTTATTCTACTGAGCTATCTCCCTGGCCCTATTGCCATGAGTATTGAGTACTGTGGCCAGGAGGAAGGGACGTAGCTCAGCAGTAGAGCAGTGAGTGTTCAATCCCAGACGCTCCTCAAAAACAGAGTAGAATATAGTTTATACCTCAGACGTTAGCTAAAATCCTACTGTCTTTTCAAATTTTACTTGAACCCCATCGTATATCGAAGTGGAAAACCCAGTGCTGTCTACATTTTGCGAGATTGTAGGAATCTTACTATGTTAGTTTCCTATTGCTGCTGTAACAAGTTTCCATATAACTACTGGGTTCAAACACGACAGATGTATTGTTGCAGGGCTCAGGAAGTCAGAGGTCTGACGCTGGCCTCGGTGGGCTGACGTCAAGGTGCTGGGGGTTGCCTGCCTTTCTGGGGGCCTGGGGTCAATCTCGCTGCCCCTTGTGGCTTCTGGAGGCCACCCACATCCCTTGGCTTGTGCCCTCTGCTCTCCATCTCAAAGCCAGTAGGGTTTCACACCTCTGATTCTTCTGTAGTGCTTTCCTCGTGTACCTCTCTCTTCCTCCTTTAATGACCCTACCCCCTTTTTGAGACAGAGTCATACTGTGTAGTTCAGGCTGGCCTTGAGCTCACTTTGTAGCCCAGGCTGGCTGAAACTCACAGTGATCCTCGTGCCCCAGCCTCATGAATGCTGGGATTACCACCACGCCCAACTATTAATAACCATCTAGATTATGTTGGATCCACACCGATTGCCTGGAATACCCTCCTTGTGTTAACGTGACCCAGTTGACCTTTCTTCCGCTTTGCCACGTAACCTAGCACATCCCACATCCCGTGGACTGGGAAGGGCACACGTCTGCACTGTCTGTTACACTCTCTCTACCACCTATGTTTTCAAGTAATTTCTGGCTCTGGGTTTCTGCTCTCACGAGCATGACCTCCTTCTGTCTTTCCTCCTGTGTCTGCACCCTTCTCCGTTCCACGCCAGCCTACTTGCAGATAGTAGAGCCCCGCTCAAGCACACACATGCAAATTGTATTTTGCTACTGTTTGGGGCTTATGTCAAAAACTCAAGTTTATATTTTAAAATGAACAAATCCCCCCTTAAGCTCTGTACCCACTGCGTGACTGGGGGGTTTATATTTGTCACGTTTCCTTCTCCAGCCTCCTGCATCCTGTCTGTCGCCCCTTCACCCTGCTGTCCTCTTCACTTCCCCCATCACCAGGTTTCTCTCTGTTCTATAAATATATAAAATAGATGAAATTCCGCACTCAGCTCCAGTTCACTAAAAAGCATTTTCTGAACCAGGTAGATTAATTATCGAGCCTTAAGACTTTGATAACCAGTTGCTGGAAACGAGCTTTTCAGTTTGAAAAATTAGAGGCAGGTATGTTTTCTTTAAACTGGCATTGAGAGGTTCAAGACAAATCATAGCTCCTGCGCCCTGTATATACTCTTATTTCAAGCCCATTGTTTAAAAATTCAGTGACTGAACTTCGCCTCTAGATAGTTCACTCTTGGCCTAAACCATTTCTGCAGGATGTTTTAAATCCTCTTTCCCTCAGCTTGAAAACTGGGAATGCCAAGCGTTAGCCAAAGGTGGGTGACGTAGGCCGCTGCCGTGCTGTGTGGGTGCGTTCCCTTCTTGTTGCGCTTCACAGGAATCCTACAGTTACTCTTGGTGCAGCAGTTCCCCTTGGAGCCTAGAACTGCAGCCACCCCAACGCTGAACCAGAAGGGACAGAGAAGCTTGGAAGTCGGTAGCTACTTTCCTTTTCACATGTCAAAGGGCGCGTGGTGGAGCGCGATCCACAGGACTCTACATTCTTCTCACCCTTTGCCGCGCCTCGGGCCCAGCCCCGACTGGGGTTCCTGGGAGCAGGCAGCAGCTCATCTGGCATGGCTCCTGCACCTGCGCTGGGCCCTGGCGTGGGGCAGGCCAAGTGTCCCAGACGTTTCAAGTCCAGAAGAGCAGTTAATTCTGGAACTGTTGGATCCGGGGGTCAATGTCAGAGCCCTGCCATCTTCCCAGCCCCACTTAGTATTTTATTTATTTTTTTAAATTAATTTTATTGATAAAGAAATAGCAATGAGACAGTTTCAAAACAGGTTAGTAGGACAGTTACAATAATTAATACATTGCATATTGTTGTCTTTGTAGTAATTCTTAGTACAAGATGCAGACATGATATCTTCTCTAAACACTATTAGTACAAATCTTCTCATTAACTAAGAGAAAGCTGTATATCTATCCTGTTTTGTATATACAGATGTATTTTTTTTCACTACAAAATGGACCTTCATTTATATACCCCTATTTTGTTTAGTTTTGTCAGATATGGGTATTCCCTTGTCATTCAAATATTGTAGGTACGTGAATTCAGCAAAATAATCCAATATAATCCAGTAGTCCTTAATAGTAGTGGGTTATCTGCAGAACTGGCAATGTCAGAAGTTGTTGACTTGAGCCCTTTATAGCTCAGCATATTAATATGGCTTTACTTTTTATACTTCGTTTTTATACTTTTCTGCTGGATGGTTAAGACCAAGATAAAGCAAGACCTATGTAACGAGAAATGTAACTTTTGTGTCTGACAAGGTCAGTCAAATCCCCTCAGGATTTACCCTGAAACCCTGTACTGAAGTTTGTAGGTCCTTTGTCAGCGTCAGCCACATGGATGAGTCATGGCCATTGCTTGGCCAATGTGCTCTCTGTGAAAGCCTGAGAGAATGTTTTCTCTGTAGGTGACTCTCCTCAGGCCCACTCTACATCGTCAATGACTTTCCTCTGTGGCCCCATAATCTCCTTGAACAGACAATTTGGGACACTACTGAGTTACAGGCAGGTTCTCATATGTCGTTAGTCCTCACTGAGCTTGAAGGGCTAGGACCAGAATGTTGGCTGTCCTTGCAGCCCTTCTTTTTCTTTAATTTTTTGGTCTGTAAACTTAAGTTGTTAACCCTCCAGAGGAGAAGCTTAATGATATTACCCTAGAACTTAGGCAGATGAGCTTAACCTCGCTATCTGTCTGAATATTGAATGCCTTAGACATAACATGGAACAGGTATTTTCCATCAAGTATTGATGTGTTAAACTTTAAATCCCTATAGAATGTGAAAAAAAATAGAATAAAAATAAACTTACACAGAAATTTAGAAATTAACCATATGCAACATTGTAGCAGGACAGTCTGACATTTTTTATTTCTTGTTTTCTTTTATTACATTTTTTTAAACAAACATTTACTTGAGAGAGAGTATAGCAATAATTGATATGACATTAGAAGTAGTACACATGTGGAAGACCAGAATGACAGGCACTCCAAGCATGACGCTACCATTACACCTTGCTATCTTCAGTGCAGTTGCTTAGTCCACAGGTATCAGTATATATAGGTAGTCAGGGTGAGAATCCTACCAATTAACTGCTAGATTCAGAAACCTGCTGAAGAGTCTCAGGACCATTGCCTTAACCATCTTGTGCATGTAAATGTATGTCTTTTTCCCTGTCATGTTTCCTAGCTTTTCTCCTTGCCCTCTCTTCATTGTTCAATTCTTAAGTTCTCGCTTTACATTTAGTTGTGTTACACCTTTCAATTTTTATTTCTTCTTTTGAGTTCTTATACTAGGAAGACTATACAATATTTACACATGTGGGTCTGACCGCTTAGTATTTTAATGCTTGAGTCAGTCCTGGAAGTTTGCATTATGCTGTCCTTGACAAAGGGTGAAGGAAAAGGCAGCACCCCAAATGCCTATGGTGTCTTTCCTTTGGGGTTTAGACAGTGGATAGCTATAATTTTCTTTTTATCTACCCTGTATTTTCCACGATGGATATGTACTGGTGTAATTAGAGAAATGAGCCATCCTACAAGATACCATTTTTCCGTATATGATCAGGGAATGAGCCAGAGATCCAGGGAGCCCTGAATGCAGGTTTAGACTCACCCTTCTAAGTTCTAGAAGAGTAAACTCACATGTGAACTAGCTTCAGAAGGTGAGCAGTACCCTAAGTTCCAGATTGTGAGACTATTGCAGAATGTCCTGAACGGACGTGGAGACTGCTTTTAGTATATAAAAAAAAATAACCACTAAGACAACAATGTGTGATGGATTAATTATTGAAACTGTGCTAGTATTCGGTTTTGCAACTGTCTCATTGGTATTTGTTTCTCAAGAAAATTATTAATATATATATAATAAAGGACAGGCCAAGAGACTGAGGGCTACGTACCGCATTGCTATGGGTAGGATTTAGTAAAGGGCCACTTGTTACGTTGTAGTTATATTCATATACATGGTTATGTTAATAAGGATTGAAAATTCCTAAGAAATTCTAGACTTGGCAAGTAGAAAAGATACCTGAGGGTTTTGTTCATTTTTAATCCTACAGGAGGTTCTCATGCACAGTCTACATTGAGATTCCATACCAGAATCCTAGCACGGTAGGAGACCGAAAGACACAGGGCAGCAGCGAGGTGTTTCTGCTCCAGATGAGCGATGCAGATGTGGAAACCTGATTAAGAAACCCGGCGTGGGTAGCTCTGCAGAGCTCAGAGAGACCTCTAGCTCAGGGAGACAGAACAGTAGGACAGGGAAGCGCTGGAACCGCCCATGACCAGCAGGACGGAGGTTTCCTCCCGAATCCAACCCAAGGGGTTGGGCCCAGACAGAAGGGCTGGGGATGGGGTAGGCACAGAGGAGGTGCAGAAGGGGCTGAGGCTGGCAGTGTGAAGAGCAAAACCTGAGCCAACAGAAGCAGCCCAGTAACCTCCGCTTTACATGCTGTGCAGAGCGGTGGCCACGTGCCGTCGTTGATGCCGTCGGACTGCAGATTCAAGGACGTTCCTAGGGTTTTTGATTCAAGTGGAGGAAGCTGCACTATTAACAGGCATTGTGTGTCTTTCTTGGAAACTCCAAGAAAGTGAGAACATTGGTCCAGGGGGCCTGGTGTCCCCAGGGTCCCCAAGCCAAAACATTTGCAGTTCGCTTAAGCCAGTGTGGCCTGTGTCAGCCAGCCTCAAACCTCACACAGGAGCCAGGTGGGTTTGGAGGTGACTGGCCCTTTGGGCTAGTCTGTTAGCAGCCCTGGAGAGTGAACAGCTTGTCACCCTATTTCTTTTAACTTTGCCAAAGCAAAATAGCTAGTAAACAGTAGGGCGTGGATTTAGATTCCATCCCGTGCATGTTTGAGGCCCGTCTCCTCCCCTGCCTAGGGCTCCTGCTGCCTCCCTGATGTTAGCAGTGAGGAGGGAAAGAAGAATGGGAGGCCAAGCCAGGGTGTGTCTGCAGGAAAAGCTGCGGAGCAGGCAAAGAAAGGAGCCAAGAGGGCTGGCCCTGCAAAGCCTGAGCTGGGACAGATCCTGCCTAGGCCAGGAGGTGTGTGGTTTTCCTAGGCCTGCAATGGCTGCTCATGGTCACATTTTGAAATCCACACAAGTGTGTAACAGAGGTTCCCACCAGCGTGTTTGCCTTGAGCCTCTGCTCAAAGCTGGGGCCGACTCTTGCCTTGGGTGCTGTGCGGTCAGTGTTCCCACTCCTCATCCCTTTCTGGTAGCCTCCTGTCACTCTGTGAGGTTGATACAGGGAGAAAAACTGATCTCGGGTGGGTAACCTCCACATGATACTGGGAACCTCCAAGTGACACAGAGAAAAATGATCTCCCAACCTGACCTGCACGAGTTCGTGTTCTCTAAAACCGAAGAATGAATTTCAGGAACTAACGGAGGTTATAAGCAGAATATATTTATTAAGAGAAAGAAAGCTCCTGTCCAACAGGACAGGAGGGGGGCCCGAGCAGGTAGTTCCCCAGGAAGCTGTCTCTTCCAGGGACTTTTATAGTGTAAAAAATAGGAACTTGCTTAGGTGGATGTGGGGTGGGACAAAACTATGGTCAGCCAATGGGATTACAAGCCCCATTGCTCAGGTAAAATTGATTAGGCCCAGGACCAAATGGGGTAGCGAGTCATGTAGCAATCGGGCATGAATGTAAAACAGGACCTTATCTGGTGGCCTTCAGACGATGATTCTTCCTAATGATCTATCCTGGATGCCAACTTTAGGGAGGTCAGCATTTGTTTGGTCTTTAGGTCTGGCTCACAGTAGGAGCGTCTCCCACAGCTGTAAGGCGCCTGGTCTTTGTCATCTCCTTCAAGGGCCTGACCTTGTCTGACTGCCTTTAATATTTCTATCTAACTCAGGCTGCCTGAAACAAGGTCACACCACCGCTGTCGCAGCCGTCCCTGTGCCCTGAACTGTCCTCCCCTGCTTTATTATTCTCCCCAGCACTTGGTACCAGCTCACAGGCTGTGGCTTTGTTTTGCTTATTTTTATTGATGACTTTCATATTGAAAAGACCATTTCAGTGGTAAAGAGGGAGTGCGAGAAATGAAAATTAAAAGAAAATCTTAATCATTGAGCTGTCCCCATGCCAAAGAAAAATGAGTAGCCATTACAGTCTTGGGCAAATCCAGGTGTAGAGGGTAGGGAGACAGAAATGAAAAGAAATTTAGTATGTAAATAAGAAACGGGGCCAGCCAAATAGCTCAGTGGATTAAAGTGCCTGCTTAGGCAGACGCAGTGACTGGGGTTCGATCCCTGGCATGCTATGCCGGCCCTGCCCCTGGGGCGCACTGAGACAGCCATTGAGACTGGGCTGGTGGTGTGAGCCTGTAATCCCAGCTCTTGGAAGGCTATAAACAGGTGGATCACTACAAGTCCGATCTATGTAGTGAGACCCTGAACACCCTGCAGACCCTTGTACTAAATACAAAAAAAAAAAAAAATTCTAGGGAAGATTATGTGCTCAGCTTTGAGTTGGCAACAAAATGACCTTGGTCTGATGATACTCTAATTTGTAATCTGATGTTTTTGGCAGCTGGATCATGAATCTGATTGGGCGCTATCGCAGAGTTTCTGGGTCAGAAGACATAAGCCCGCGGTGGGAACAGGACTACCATCTGCAGCCCATGGGCAAGCTGGGATTGTTTTATGAGTACCTTGAGATGAGTAAGTTACTGAGTGAAATCTTAAGTGGTGGGAAGTGTCAGAGCGTGTTGCGGAGTGGGAAGCCAGGAGATTATTTAGTGCATTGAAAGAGTATGTTTTTTGTCTCTCAGATAAAAGTAGGCCTTCAAGGAAGGGGGCTGTGTGTGGCTTAGGTTGCTGAGGAACGAAATGGAATACTCATCTACAGCTCTGGTTCTGAAAACGTGCAGACCCGTGTCTGAGGTCGGACGCAGCTGTGTCTTCAGCTGTGCTCGGCCTGGGCTGGAGCTTGGGCGGGCACACCGCGGCACATGCACCTGCACTAACCCTTAAGCAGGGCTGCAGGGGCGCGCTGCCCACTCGGGCCCACACCCCACCCTGCCTCCGACGGCCTTGGGCCAGAGGGTTCCCCTGGTTCCTACATGGCCTCGGGAGCGGGAAAGCATTCAGTTGGTCTGGGATTAGGGTTCAGCCCACAGATCACCCCACTGCAGAGCTGCTTTGTTCGCTGTGTGTTATTCATGTGGGCTCTGGGTCTCTTCAGCTGAACCTAATTTGGAGCTCTGTGGTGCTTTTTAAATGGATCTCAAAATAGATTTCCATAGAAAACTTCTCTATTACGCATGACACACTTGTATCTAGTAGACAGCTAACGACTTACGTATTCTCTACCTGTACCCTTTTAGCTCACCACTGCATTGAATTACAGGGTTTTATAACCATGATAGAATAGAAAAAGAGGCACAAAATTCTGTGTGACAGGCCTTGAATGCGCGCCTAGGATTCTTTGTGTGCAGATAGACGTGGGTTTCATTAAGTAACATCCTATGTATAACAAACATTATATATAAAATGTTATATATAACATCCTATATATATATATATATATATATATATATATATATATGGCTTTCAAAAGTGCACATTATACATGGAAACATGCCTGGAGTCCGCTTTGAAGTTCATTTCCATTTATGTTTTGTGATGGGAATTTATTAAGGGTGTATAGGATATTATGTAGGTGCTGTGTTTAATTTATTTTCAAAAAGACTGCAAGACAGTTATTCCAAAATGAGTCATAATTATGAATATTTCTCACTGCAGCCTTTATAGAATTAACAGCATCATCCTGGTACAAATTATCCCTTGTTATTTTATCACTCCCTCACCAAAAAAACCCAAACACTTGGGAACAAGTTATTTTTCTGTATTGTTAAGTCAAATAAGTGATGTTGAAAGGACAAATTTTATAGTCATGTTTTCCCAGGCAAGCGTTTATTCCACTGAGCCGTCTCCCTGGCCCCGATAGTCGTGCTTTGAGGAGAAGTTGAACAGGTATTTACAGATTCATAGGTTTATTAAAATAGTTAACTAAATAATTTGGCTTCATCCTACCATATCAGGAAAAGTAGAATAATAACTGACATGGAGAGATTTCTAAATATTACAGTTTTCGTTATTTTATTTATCACTTTAAAACTATAGCTCCTGAGAATCAGTCTGTTAGTGTATACTCAGTAGCACTGTGAAATCTGGCTTCTGTCCTTGGAGACCGTACAAGATAGACTTTCAAGTGCCTTTTGAATTATTTCTGAGGCGCGCCATGGGGGATGGACGCCCACGCAGTGCCTCTGCCCATCTCCCCGCGTTCACTACGCACCACCACCCACCTTCTAACTCTGCCTCCTACTGCTTGCAGGAAACGTCCTCCCGCACCCGACCTGTCCTTGTCGAGGCCTTGCTCTGGCCGCCAGCCCTTTTCCTTTCCTCTCACCTGACCAGTTCCTCCCTCCACCTCCTCCGTCATTCGGTGGCTCCTCTCTCCTGGGCCTGAGCAGCACCGGCCACCTTGATCACGTGGGTGGCCCTCCCCTGGCTGGTGACCCGGCAGAGGTAGCTGCCAAGCCCTTGGCCTCTGTTAGTCCTCGGAGCACCTGTACAACTGTCAGTCGACCTTGCATGCACGTTGCCCCCTCCGGCCCCCACCAAATGCTATGTGGCCTTTGGGTGAAATCTTTATTTGTGAGTTTCCCACATCTTTTGAATTATTTGAGTAACCCTTGGGCATAAGCCAAAATTACCTCCCAGTGTATCGGTCCTGTGATGACAACTTAGACCCAAAATATTAGAGAAGAATAGTGTGTTGGCGTTGACATCTAAAAGCCATAGATACGCTTCTGTTCCTCAAGCACCTGGGCCTGCCATGTGCCACCTCCGTGGCCTGCGCTTCCCCAGGTGGCAGCAGATCCAGGGGGAGGGGTGGATTGACAGGTGTCCGTGCCTAAGTATTTCTCGTTGCTAGGGAAGCCAGGATTAGCCTTGGTCAGTGCACTCAGGGAGCCCCACTGCTGTTAGGGGTGCAGACCTGCCCTGTTCCAGCAGGTGCTGACTAGAGGGGACCCGAGGTTGAGGGAAGTTAGGCTGACATGGTTAGGGAATGGTCACATTGTCAGAGAGGCAAACACATTCCGAAGTGCAGGTGCACATGTGTGCTCACTTCTGAGAACAGCAGCAGCCAGGGCGTGGCTGGAGCTTGGATCTGCAGCGCAGACCCGAGCAGCATCACGGCAGGTGTGGTGCTGGCCAGGGCCTTGCCCAGTATGCTTCAGGCGCCAGGCACCCGGCAGAGTGTCGGTGAGCCAGAGAGCTGCGTGCCGTTCATGTTGGAAAAGGTCACATTGTCGTTGTCCATGCTGGATAGGAAGAAGGCCGCCCCAAGAGCGCAGCAGGTAACCCAGACAGCAAGTAACCGGCCGGCATGGAGGCTGCGCCCAAGAGCAGAGGTGGGGGAGGAGGTGCCGAGTGCTGAAAGGAGCAGAGCTGTTAGGCCTCGTCCCGGAGGCGGGTCCGTGGCAGGGAGTAGGGAGGAGAGCTCACCTTGAGATGTTTCCGTGGTGGCTGTTTCGGGTGGGATTTGTGTAGCGGACATCAGAAAGGCAGTGTCTCAGAGGAGCCCCAGGAGAGCCACGTCCATGCAGCAGGCAGAAACTTGGTGCTGTGAGCCCCTGGGGAAAGGGACGCTTGCAGAGCAGGTGGAGAAGAGGGGCCGCAGGGACCAGCGGAGCAGAGCCGGAGGAGGGGGGGTCCCGCAGGTGGCGGTACGCAGAGGGCCAGCAGGGTGCCAGGCTGGCCCGAGAGGCTCTTGTCCTGCCACACATAACTTGGCTTGGCTTTCTAACGTGATTTAAGTAAAACAAAAGCGAGGAAAGAATGTCCCAGGGAGGGGGGCCTTTGCCACATCAGAAGTTACCTAGTGATCAGATAACCAAAGCCACGCACACACACCCACCCCCGGTGGTCGGCCGTCAGCGGTCGGCAGGGGCAGATTGGGCGAGGGCAGTGCGGGCCGGCCGGGCCTTCCTTCGTGGAGGGATGCGTGGTGAAGGGAACCGTGCAGAGGTTTCCTTCAGGACGCTTGGCTGTCGTGTGAAGAGGCAGCGTTGGCGCTGTAGAATGCTGACAGAAGCTTCGCACAAGGGACATGTTTGTCTTTACAGTGAGTGGTTTTTGTCCTGATGAAATGATCAGTCCTTTTAGTGCTAACTTTAATGTCAGGACAAATTATGCCATGTTGGGTTTTTTTCTGGGGTGTCTTTAAATAGAAAAGTTTTAATCTGTCTGGAATTTATTTTGAGATAAAAAATGATGACCCTGTACCTATTTTTTGAATGGTTTATTGACCTGTTTAAATACTTCGAGCCCACTGATTAGAATATATTTAAATCTCAAGCATATTTTTATCTCTGCTTTAAAACCATTCTACTTAATTCATATTAATCTATCCATGTGCGAATTCTGCAATTTTAATTGTATAAATACACTCTATATCCCTAAAGCTGATCTCATTTTTAGTTTTCCATGATTGTCACTAGAATCATTCCTCTTTGATTTAACTGTCCATTTATTTGTGAACTTTAGCATCATCTTTTGTCTTTAAAAAAAATTTTTTTTAATTGAGTAAAAAAATGTGCGTTAGAATTCTGAATTATTCTGTGGAGAAAAAGGTGGTAGGTTCCCAAATCTGAGTCCACCCACTCAAGAGTGTGGCGCGTCTGCCCACGCGCCCTTTCTTTTTTTCTCCTAGTCCGTTAGCCTCACGGTCCTATGTTTCCTCTCTGGGTTTGTAACTGAGTGTCATGTGTTTCTGCTGCTCCTTTCTGGCCTCTGTCGCACAAGGTCCAGGAGTGTCTCCCTCACTGCAGCAGGCTGCATCCTAAAGTGGTTTACCAGTCGCCTCTGACCCACCTCACACCTGTCCCTTCCTTGTCTGCACCCCAGGTGAGGGCTGGAGTCAGGAGGAGCAGACACAAGCTGTCCATCACTGATCGTTGCTCCCGGCCTGACCAGCGCTGGCCCTTGCTTTTCTGACCCTTCTAAATTTGACCACTCCTCTCTGGCCTGTGTGGCTTACAAGATCCTTGCGGCTCCGTCTGCTCTGCCAGCACAGACCAAGTCCTCTGAGACCAGAAGCAGAGGCCGGTCTCCTTCCTGGTCACACCCACTGTGCCTTTCTTTCCTGGCCAGGCCCCTCCCGCTCTCGAGCTGAGTGGTGGGCTCTGGAGGGCCTGGGAGCGTCCCACTGACCCACAGGGATGCACACATAAACCGCGACGGGCTGCCTGCTGGAAGGGAAGGGCTCACACTGACCGTTTCTTTCCTAAGTCTTTGGCTGGCATGCTTTCTTGCTGGCCTCCAGGTACGGCTATTCTCAGATTTGCTGCCCCATTTATATCAGGCCATGTAAATCTCAGGTAAGGGAAAAAGAACCTGTAAGCCGCCGTAGCGTTCTGACTTACTGTGACCACAGGGATGGCGGTAGAGATTGTAAAGGAGCGTGATGATTTAGCAAGACCACTTTGTCACGTTTGCGTCACACTGTGCTTACATTCCCCTGTATACGGGAATCTGTTTCTTTGCTTTATTTCCGGCATATCCCTCCAACACTCTACAAGCCTAGCTTTCCCAGTAGTGCTTGCTTTTTAAACCCTAAGTCACAAGTCATCCGCCACTGTCCTCCTAGCACAGTATTAAAAGTGAACAGTATGCTTAACATGTCTCAAGTTCATTGCCAAAAAATAATTTGTGATTTTAAAACATCAGGTACAGAATTTCACTAAGCATGATAGGAATTCGACAGTGGTTGATAAATTACATGTCATTGTCTTCACATTCATTGTTCAGATTACCAGATGGAAGCCTGCAAACTTGGTCAAATATTATAAAAATTTAAAGAGGGAGAGAAAAAAATTTAAGCATTAACTACTTCTTTCAGTAGACCAGCGGAAATCAGCAGTACAGTTATCTAAGCTATCCTGTGGGTGTACATATATATTTCTTTTTCCCTTTTTTCTTCTTTCCTTTATCCCAGTGGTTCTTTCCCTTTGAACAGTTTTAAAAATTTAAAAGAAAAAAAATTTTAACTTAACTCCAATAAACAGGAAGTATAAAAAAATATAATTAAAGACTTTTCAATATATTGTTCCCACTGTGTATCTGTAAAGAAATAGCTGTAATTACTTGTCTTTCAAGAGATTTCATATTTGTGTTTTGTTCACACTTTCACTGTTCAATGGTTGTTACTGAACGTGGGTGTTTGTCTTTGGGATTGAGTTCTTTGTCTGCACTTCTCTGTGTAAGCGTGAAGGGAATACGTTGTATGTCTGTCCGCCACCCCATGACGTGTGTCCATTCCATTGACAGTTATTCAGTTTGGGTTCGTCACCTTATTTGTGGCCTCTTTTCCGCTGGCTCCTCTGTTGGCTCTGGTGAACAATATATTGGAAATAAGAGTGGACGCGTGGAAGCTGACCACCCAGTTTAGACGCATGGTGCCAGAGAAAGCCCAGGACATCGGTGCGTGGCAGCCCATCATGCAAGGCATCGCCGTTCTGGCGGTGGTGACCAACGTGAGTAGGCGCGGGCGTCGAGAAGCCCAGCCCCCTGGGGGCTGCCCGAGGGGTCGGGCGTGCGGTACTTCCTCAGGTGGGGGTGGGGCCAGGTCTGTCCTCCGCATGGACAGTGCAGTTATATGCTGTGGGATTAAAGGGGGATTCTTTTTTAACTTTGCTTGTTTATAACTTCTGTTTTGACTTAGCAAGTCACAGCCTCCTCCTGAGGTACCACGGCTACCCCTTTGCTCAGGCTTTTGTAAGGACTAACACGTCTGATCTTCATACTACTACAAAAGGAGTTATCGAACACTGCTTTTGTTACACAGGCGGAGATGTGCTCGTTGAGGATTTCAGGGCTGAGACGAGAACATCCCGCTGTGTGTTCCGAGCTGTCAGCTTCCCGTAGCTGAAGCATCAGTGCTTTGCGCAGTTCTGATTGTGTGCGGCCCTCCCTGGCTCGAGGGCCGCGGCATGGCCCTGACTCTCCTCCTGGCCGCTGGGTCTTTGCTAGCCCTGCCGGCTGAGGCGGCCTCGCGCCCCGCATCCTGGCCGTGAGGGGCGTGCAGTTGTTTGCAGCCTGGCGGGAGCCCACGCTCGACAGTGTGGTCCTGCCTTTGCACAGGCTAATGGAGTTCCCAGGCAGGCAGTCTTCAGGCCAGCTCCGCGGGGCCTCCTCCCCTCGAAACAGCCGTAAGGCCAGTGCCTTTCACCACCATATCTCACTGCCAGGCTCACCCCCAGCCAGCTTCCCCACCAGAGTTACTTCCCAGCCTAATTTCTAAGCCCACACTTGCCCCAAGTCCCCCCTCTTACGGCCTGTGTGTGAGGCTCTGGAGGAGGGGACTCCTGGGGGCGGCAGGCTGCCGACTCGGTAGACCCGAGCTTCCTTCCCAGCACTGTGACTCTGGGCCCGGCCTTCGCCTGGCAGAGACTCACTTGGTCATTTGCAGAGTGCACGATGCCCTCACAGAGTTCAGCGAGTTCATGCGTGGAATGCATTCGCCATCCTCATTGAATGTCAGCCAGTGCTTTATTTTCTTTGCTCAGTGTCATTGACAATGACTCCCCGAGGACTCTGATGTGAATCCCAACTAAAGGCACAAGAATCTGAAAATAAGTCACTGTCTAGATGATGGGTACAGTAGAGTAAGTTCCCTGGAACCCGCCACCCTAGAGCCCTCAGTGGGTCTGAGCATGCTGCCTCTACTTTTTGGAGAAAGGTGAAAATCACGCCTAAAAACCAGTTTACAAGGCACATCAGTTTCCTCTCACCGAATAATAACACGCACCGCACCTTACACGTCCACTGTGCTTCTGAATGGAGACTGATGTTCAGAAACGTGACAGCACAGCCCTTCAGGCTCCACAGCCATAAGGAGTGCGTCTGCCATGTTCAGTGTGCACTAAACCACAGGAACGCAGGCTTGGGCGATTTAAGAAAACTCAGCAATAAAGGTTAGAAGGTAAAAGGGTTTTAGTTTGACCTTCAGCACCATAAAATGCAGTTGAGTTGTGCCCCCTGTTCCTCAAGCGTTCCAGTTTGCTTGCATCGGGCACCCTTTCCTGGAGCCCGGGCTGTGGCTCCGCTCCATCAGGCTGCTCTGCGGGGGTCTGTGGACCGACACACATGCTGGCTAACCAGAGCTACCTGGTCTTGTCCAATAGATGCTTTTGCTTCTGACTTATCCTAGGAAAACTACTTAGATTGGGGTCATTGATGTAACTAAGGATGACCTTGTTTCCAACGTGATTAGGGTTGTTAAACTTCCAAGATGCAGCACGCATACACGTGCACACATGGATGTAAATGTGTGTGCATTGAACACATATGTGTCCCGCACGAGTATGCCCTTGACCCCTTAAATACCTACTGTGTAAGTCCACACCTAATGTCTCTAAGGGGACGAGGACAGCCACTGGGCTGCGGGTGGGCAGCCCGCAGGACTTTGGTGTAAAATCACCCCTAAAAGCTGCCGAGTCCGTAAATAAGCGGAACTGACACTGTTGTATCTGCCAGAGCACCTGCTACTGAAGACCAATTTTAATTTATTTTTATATAAATGGAAAACCGTGTGCAGAGCAGCGCGAGGAATGATGCGCGCTGCGTTTATCTGTGATCTGCAGCACCTCCCAGAGCCTCACAGCCCAGGAGGGGCGTCCTGTCACATGCCAAGAGCGTGTGCTTCCCTGTTGGAGTTTCTCGTATAAACAGAGCGGTTGAGGTAAATGCTGACAGGAAATCGGATCTACTGAACTCTGGAAACTGGTGCAGCATCCTGCCTCGCCTCCCACCGCCAGCAGTCACACTCGCAGGCTCACTCGGGGAGGACGTGGCCGAGCAGGTCCTGGTGGGGCAGGTTCGCGGTAGAACAGCTTGTTCCCCGGCTTTGCCCGAGTCCTGTTTGCTGGCTGCGGTCTCCCTGGGTTTAGCCACATGTTCAGCTGAGTAGTGTTAAAGATCGAATTGAACCAGAATTGCGCCTGCTCTTCTGCTTATTTAATGGCTCAGTCATTCGCTTTGTTCGTTCACATAGAATTCGGTTTGGAGGACATTCATTCTCCCTCCCTCCAATCAGTTTTACAAATGGGAGAGTTTAAAGCCCAAAGTAGAGAATTTTAGAAAATTTATAACTCAGTTGTATATCCTAATAGATGTCTGTCAGACACAGGTTCATGGGCTTTCTGTGTATTGCTAAATAACTTATAATTTTATTCATCTAATCTTTTGCACGTTTGGAGGTGTAGATACTAGGTCTAACAAAACTGATGTCATTGCTTGACTTTGTAAGTAGAACGGCCTCAGTATAATTTCTTTTTAGCCATAATTTATATAAAACAATTCTTATTCTCTAATGAAGTAACGAGTATATAGTGTGTTCAGAGTAACCAGGCTGCAAGGTAACTTTGTGGATTTGAAGCTGTTATGTAAATTGAGATCCAGCGAAGAATATTTTATGCAGTTTAAATTGTTTTTTGTGCAAATCAACTTTGTATCAATTGCTCTACAAGGGAATTAGATAAAAGTCCAAATATTTTCAAAATACCAACCTTAGTATTATGTCTACAAAATTGTTAACCTGAGGCTATTTTTATGTATTTAGTGCAGGGTCTACAGGATACAGGGTTTATAGGGTTCTCACTACGTAGCTCGGACGCGTAGTGATACTCCTGTGTTCAGCCTCCCAAGCACTGGGATTACAGGCATACACCACCATGCCCAGTCTCAATCTCTGTCTCAGCGCGCCCCGGGGGCAGGTCCGGCACTGCATGCCAGGGATCGAACTCTGGCCGCTATGCTCTGCCTAAGCAGGTGCTTTAGTCCGCAGAGCTGTGGCTGGCCCTACTGTTAACCTTGGGAATGCTATAATTTTGACTCTTCTACTTCTGAAAAGTTCTGATTCTAATACTAACATTAATACTAACACAGGCTCTTAAGTTCTCCATGTTAGAGTTACTGTGAGTAAATGGTGTTATATTTAAGCACGTAGTAGGCAGGTCTCGGACTTCTGCATTTGAACTGCAGGTCTCCTCATAGAATGGAAGCCTAGAAAGAAGCAGTCTAAACTTTCTGCTCAGAGCCCATGGTGTTACGTGGAAAATGGCCGATCAAAACACAGAATGTGTGCCTTTTCTCTCATAGGAAGAAGCTGGAAAACACCTTGAAGTAGAAGGGAGACCATGGGAGATGGGCAGGGAGGTGGGGAGAGAGGGCGGGGGGCCGCAGTCTGCATGGACAGGCCTGTTGCATGACACCCTGTCTGTAACAGACACTGATCTGTAAAAAAATTCCACTCATGGGTTTCTAGGACGGATATTTCATATAAATTATAATTTCCGAATCTATTTCATCAAAGTCAGCTTGATGCAAACCGCACCTCGGGCACACACGTCTCTGTGGCGACTCCAGGCTGACGCTGGTCCCCGCCTTCCCCCCACAGGCCATGATCATTGCGTTCACGTCAGACATGATCCCCCGGCTGGTGTACTACTGGTCCTTCTCCATCCCACCCTACGGAGACCATGAGCACTACACCATGGAGGGCTACATCAACAACACGCTGTCCATCTTCAACATCTCGGACTTTAAAGACAGGAGCAAGGCCGAGTCCAGCTCCGGGCTTGGCAACTACACCACGTGCAGGCAGGTTCTGCGGCGGCTGCGTTGACACTCCCTGCGCCGAGCAGGGAGTTACACCTCGAGACCCATTAAACTGGGGTCTTGGGATCTGATTCTGTCTGATGTTACTTAAATTGCTAGAGGCGGTGTTTTCCCATTGCTAGCTTTTTTTTTTCTTCCATAATTTTATTGATAAACAAATAGCAATGAGACAGTTTCAAATCAAATCGCTAGGACAGTTTCAATAATTAGCACACTGCGTACATTCTTCTTCGTGGTTAATTGCTGTACAAGACGTGGACTTGAGATCCTATTTACAAACACCATTAGAACAAATCACTCTATTCATTAAGAGAATGTAACTATGTATCTATCCTAACCACTTTGAATACACAGATACAAAATGGACATTCATCTGTTGCTTTCTTTTCAGTCAAACTAAACAAAGATATTAAAATGTATAATGATTAGGGTAAGCCTTTCAAACCAAACCAGAAAAGCAGGATTGCGAGTTGGAGTGGTTACAGAGAGATCTGATCCCAGAGAAAGTCTTACCTATTAGAAATGAAGAAGCGAGAAGGTCTAGAAATCCAATTCCCTAACTGATTTGTTAGAGAGGCACAACCTGAAGCTAAGAGACAGTATTGCCCTCACTTAGTAAAGACACACAAAATTAAAATATGTAAATGCCTAACCTGTATTTTCTGAAAGTATTCCAGTATTTAATGGCTGGCAAATTTTTCTTGGGTACATACTAACTAAATTGCCAGTGGATAGCTTGTTCATGACAGGTCATAGAGTTTCTCAGTCTTTAACTTATCTAAAGGAAGCCTTAAAATTCTTTTAGTTCAACGCTTCAAAGCCTTCACTGCATCAGATTTTCAGTAACACAATCTGTAAGCCAGAAATAAGCCTAGAATAAATGTTTCCAGGTTGTAGGAAGAAGGGCCACATTAGAATCTTCCCTTTCCTCCTCTAATCTCATCAGACTCTCCTAGGTCTGACAGATGAAGGCAGGAAGTCTGAGATGTACCACCTGAAAAAGTCCTAGTATGTGGCAGCTCACAAGGGGTTAGGTAGAAAAGTTGTACCAAGTGGGCACGTCCTCAGTAGGGCCTTTTGCTGAGCCACTTGTACAACTAACTACAAACACAATCCTGAACATACACGGGCTAAATGATTTTATACTCTTTGCAGAAAACAAAGATAAATCTGGGCCCCTGCCTTTTCTGTCTTTGATAAAGATAGGTTTTCACAGTGGAATCCATTATTACCATCATTTTCTAGTTATGCATTCAGTGAATTATTGCCAGAGTCATTGTTTTCAAAGTTTTATTGCCAAAATGAGCTCTAGGAGAAAAATTTGTATGATGTCCAGTTTAAAAGAACATTGCATCAAATGACTCCTTTTCACAATAGAGCTCTTGTTTATAGTATTTTGTAAAAAAAAAACCTGCTCCCTAATATCCGTCTGTTTTGTTTCCAGGTATCGTGACTTCCGAAATCCCCCTGGACACCCACAAGAATATAAACACAACATCTACTATTGGCATGTGGTTGCTGCCAAGCTGGCTTTTGTCATTGTCATGGAGGTAGGAAAAGTATATTTTGAAATAGTTTTAAGGCCATATATTTGTACATCTTATATTTCTTTAAGTACTGTCAACTCAAAATGTGTTTTCTTATTGCATGCTAAGAATTACTTTAGAACATATATTAATCAGATTTGGTATATTCATAATGCTATAATTAAATGAAGTTGGGATTTTGGGATTGGGTTGAACATCTTTTGCTGTGCTGTTCTTGTGGTGCCAGGGATTAGGCCCCAGGGCGTCATAAAGCTACATTCCCAAGCTTTGATTGTGACGCAAGGTTGGCTAAGTCACTGAATTGCCCGGGCTGGGCTTGAACCTGCCTCAGACTCCCCAGTGCTGGGATTACAGCCCTGCGCCACCACGCCTGGCGTGGTTTCTGTTTTAATAGTTAGAGAAAGCCTGTTGTGTGCAAGAAGGACGCAGTTCCCTTTGGTGCAGGACCAGCTGAGGGCCTCTTGCACTCGGGGGTGCGGAGCCGGGCCTCGGACTGCGGAGGGGCGCGTGCGTGCATGCGTGCGTGTATGCATGCGTGTGCCTGCGTGGGACCCCGCCGCGTGCAAGGTGCGCTCCATGCTCTTTCGCTCACTCGTATTATCATTCTTTAGTCACTGCATTTTATATAACACCAACTTCTTACAATAATTTATACATCTGTAAAATTATGTATCTCTGAAAAATGACGAAGGCAGCTATAAACTGTCAGTTGATCTGGCCAGATTTTTTTCTAGAGCGACTGCCAAATTGCGAAGCTCCAGATTGGTGTGGAAAAAATAACCCTTTTTTAAGTAGAGCAGCTGTGCAGCCCAGGTTTGCAGTCACCCTGGAGGGTGGAGTCTGCATAGCCCGCTGGATTCTTTGCCCAGGCTCCTGCCCTCCTCCCTCCCGCCTCTAAATCCCCATTTTCATTCTTGTTGTTACTTATCTCATTTCATATTTATGACATACAATGTTTATACTCACTTAGGTTGTTAGGCTCCTGTGCTTTTTTTTTTTTTTTTTTTTTTTGAGACAGGCTGGTCTTGAACTCAGTAGGTAGGCCAAGCTGGCCTCAAACTTCTGGTGATGCTCCTGCCTCAACCTCCTGAGTGTTGGGATTGTGACATGTGCCACCACACCCAGCACTCCCTTGTCTCTCTCTGTGTATTCTTTATTGCTCTGTTTGTACTGTGACTTCCTCAGGTGACAGTAAGTGTCCCATCATCCAATCAGAAGCCCCTCCTCTGAATACTTGAGACTTGGACGACATCTTAAATCTAAACCATAATAAATACAGTCAGATATCTTTTTTGAACATTGCTAGTTCTAATACAAACCTAGAATCATGACAGCATTTGGAGTCACTAGAAAAGCATTCCCCAGTGGACATACCAGCTTTCTGGTTTTGTGGGAAAGCAGTATCTTTGGGAACAGATCGTTTCAGTCTCCCTCAAAGAGTTGGGGGAGGGGAAGACAAAGAAAATCCCAAAGCTAGGTCTAAAATAGAGAGAAGAAAAATTAAGGTCAGTCCGGCTCATTTCATAGATGCAAAGATCATTTTAGAAGTGTAAAGCAAATCTAGCAATGTATTTTTAAAAGGTAGCATCACATTATGTTGACTTTAACCCAGAAATGTAAGGAGACATAACAGAAAAATCCACTCAGCTGAAAGTATTGCCTTCTAAAACAGATGACAGGAAAAAAAAGAAAAAAAAGACCTTTTAGCCAGGTGTGGTAGTGCAAGCCTGTAATCCCAGCATTTGGGACAGGCTGGGCAGGAGGCCTGGCTCCGGTTGGATGCTAGCCTGGGGCTACATCGTGCCTTCAAGGCCAGCCTGAATTACAGAGTGAGACCTCGCTCAAAATAAACCTCTCAGGCTGGCCAGATAGCTCAGCAGTTTAAAATGCCTGCATAGGCAGACTCAGGGACCAGGGTTCAATCCCCAGCGGGCCATGCCAGCCCTGCTTCCCCCAGGTGCACTGAGACCATGACTGAGATTGGGCATGGTGGCACGCAACTGTAATGCCAGCGCTTGAGAGGCTGAAAACAGGAGAATCACTACGAGTCCGATCTGCATAGTGAGACCCTGTAGACCCTGGACTGCATACATTAAAAATTAAATAAACCTCTTTCCTGCATCCCTACTCTTCTCTGTCACCCCAGTGAATGGCTTCTCTCCATTCTGTGTCCCTCACCACTTCTCCATTTTTCTCTTCCTTGGGGCCAGGGCCTTAGAGAGCGTGGTCACCGCTTACTGTCTGTGACTGTACCTTGTTCCTTCCACGCCCATTCTGGTCAGGCCCTCCTCCCCGCCCCACTGAAGGTACCTCTGCCATCCTCCCCGCTGCGTCATGCCACCCAGTCACCCTCTCCGGTCATGTGACCTAACCTGCTAGCGACATTGCTTGTAGCTGATTACCCAGCCCTCTTTGAAACTTCCTTGGCTCCTAGGAAAGCGCATCTTTAACAGCAGTAAAGAGAGACATGGAAAGTCATTACGTAACAGTAGTGAGGTCACTTCAGCAACAAGAAGTAACGCCTGTAAGTACGTGTGCACCCAGTATGGGCACACCTCAACACAGCAGTACCTCGGTTCTCAAACTTAATTCTTTTTCCTCGGTTCTCAAACTTAGTTCTTTTTTTCTTGGCACTGGGAAGCGGACTCAGGACCTTGTGCCTCCCAGGCAGGTGCTGTGCTGCTGAGCTGTCTTCCTGGACCCTCATGAACTTAATTCTTTCCACAATCCTGGTTGAAAACTAAGTTGGATGAGAACTGAATCAAATCCAGTGCTTAGGTTGAGTGCTGACCTTGTGGGGAAAGTGGATTTGGTTTGCAGCCAATTTGGTTTGTGACCAGAATCTTGGAAAGAATGAAGTTCCTGAACCCAGGTGCCCTGCCCGTAAGCCAGGCATCAGTGGACTTAGGGCACGGGAGCCTGCGATACGGTAATAGCAGTGGATGCTGACACCCTGCTTTCAGCACTGGACAGATCGTTCAGACAGAAAACCAGTAAAGTACAAAACCCAAAACCAAGTGACGCTGACAGACACCTACAGGACACTCCATCGTCAGCTGCAGAGTACCTTTATTCTGAAGAAAAAGCACATGGACCATTCTCTGAACCAGATCAGAGGGCAGACCACAGAATAAGTTCCAACAAAAATTTTTAAAACTTAGCCAAGTATACAGACACATGGAAATTAAGCATATTCCTGAACAACCAATGGAATAATGTCAAAATTAAGAAAATTGTAAAATGTCTTGAAAGAGATGACAGTAAACAGAATGCGTGCCAGCCCATTCTGGCAGCAGAAGCACGGAGGAGAGCTGAGTGTGCAGTAGCAGGCACCCGCGCCAGAATAGCCAGAAAGCCCTGGGCTGGGCTAGAGGGCGGTGGGAGGGAGCTTGCCTGGTGTGCAAGCAAGTCTTAGGCTTAAGCCTCAGTACTGGGGAAAAGGCAGGAAAATCTCAACTTAGCGTTACTCCTCAAGGCACTAGCAAAATGAAAGCAAAGTAAACTTTATAGACCTAAGTATCAGAGAAGAAATTAAACAAATTTGATTAAAACAATATGACCAAAGAATGAAATGGACTGGTTTTGAAAAGCTAAAATTCACAAACCCTCACCTAAAATAAGACAAAGACACCTTTAACACTTGCAGACTTGTAGTGATCCTCTAGCCCAGTTTTGGGGTCGGCATGGCACACCTCGGGTTCCGAGGCTTGGTTCAGCATGCAGTACTGGAGATTGAACTTGGGACCTTTCCCTTCAAGGCAGGCTTGTAGACCACCGAGCTGTTTCCCTGCCTACCTTTATTTAACGCTTTCATATAGCATAGGACCAGAAATCCTAGCCAGAACAATCAGGCAACAGAGAGAAAGAATACCCAGACTGAAAAGGTGGTAGGCGTGGCCAGATAGCTCAGTGGACTAAAGTGCCTCCTTAGGAAGGCGCAGGGACTGGGGTTCGGTCCCCAGCATGCCATGCCAGCCCCGCCCCTGGAGTGTGCTGAGGTGACAACTGAGACTAGGCATGGTGGCACACACATGTAATCCCAGCACTTGGGTGGCTGAAAACAGGATCACTATAAGGCCTTTCTGTATAGTGAGACCCTGTAGACTCTGTATTAAATACATTTTTAAGAAAAGAAAGGTGAATCATTGTTCACAGATAGTAGAATCTTGGACCTGTATTTGTATAAATAAAATGAATTACGATAGAGAAGAATTGCAAAATTGTTTGAATACCTACATTTTACAAAAATTTAGTTGTGAAAAATTAGAAAACCCAAACATAGTAGTAATAGGTAATTAGATTGAATTGGTAACAAAAATTCTCCCATCAAAGAAAAGCCCCAGACTCAGTGGCTTCACAGCTAAAGTCTACCAGATATTTGAAGAACTAATACCCATTCTTAAATTATTCCAAAAAGTTGTACAGAAGGAGTCTCCTAAAGTCATTTTATGAGGTCACCATTTACACTACTATGAAAACCAGACAAGGAGTCAACCAAAAAAGAAGGTTACAGGCAAAATTCTTGATTGACATGGTTCAAAAATTTTCAACACAGTAGTAACAAACTGACCTAATAGCACGCTTAAAGATCATTCACCCTGATCAACTGGGATTAATCCCAGGAATGCACAGAAACAAATGGAAAGCCACCCTTGCTGTGTTCATGAATTAGGGGACTCAGTATTGGTAAAAGTCTGTGTCACTTAAAGTGATGTAAAGAGTCAGTGTAGTTTGGATCAAAATACCAATGACATGCTTCACAAAACTAGATAAAAACAATCCTAAAATCTCTATGAAGACACAAAAACCACCTAAGCAATCTTAAACAAAAAGCAAAGCACCCAACATTATATTATCTGACTCAAAATACAATACAAAACTCTAGTAGTTAAAATAGCATGGTATTAGTGTACATATAGACTGATGGGACAAGAAGAGCGAGCTTGTGGTAAACTATACCTGTACAGCCTACTGATCTTTGACGAACTTGCTAAGAACAGTGA